AAGGTCAAAGTGCGACAAGGATTACGTGACAAGATTGAGGCCGAGGCTGAGAGGCTCAGCTATCCGCTTTTCGACATCGTCGTGGTGAAAAGTAAGGTAATTTCCAGACCATTCGAGGCATCCCATGGGTTTCAGCCAGAATGTAGGAGGGCTCTAACAAATGTTCTATCGGAATATAGATTGAAACGGCAGAAAAATGAGCTCAAAACAATTATTTTCCTTGGATTATTTTTTGAACAAAAACTAAAGGCTTTACGCCATGAGCTTCGTGACTTTCTTGAATATTATTAAAATACTCAAGAACAACGTACAGTAAAATAAATCTCCATAACTCGAATTTCCAAATGTCATTTGGGCATTATTCTGGTGACTAAGAAAAGAAAAACAAAACACAAATTTGACTTGATGATATTCAACGGGAAGTGTGTGAATAATTGTGCTAATTAAACCTCGCCTCCAATTTCAGCTTCCCGTCAGCTCATTTATTCCGTAGTTGAAGGCATAAGAATCACCAATTGTACTTTCGCACTTTCTTTTATTGCTAACTTCGACTTCAACAGGTTGGAAAGGATCACTATTTTTTGAAAAATGTGTATCAAAATGCTGGGAATCACGAGGTTCATTTTAGCTTAATTGAATATCCCAAAAAACAGGAAAATAAGAAACAGCATCATCATTAAATAAATCAAGAACTTATTCCTGCCGAAATTCTCCTTATTGTAACGGCCAAGGGCGTGATGGATAAATTTGTTGAAAGGTAACCACGACTCGTGACAAATTTAACAACGAAATGTGCAATGATATCAGGGTTCTAGAACAATTTGAGTATAGGTGGGAAGGCTGATTTTTCAAATAAACCTTATTGGATTTGATGAAACAAAATTAGCCTTCTCCAGTCAGTCCTGAATTCGTTTGCAGCCTGTTCGCATGCTTCGGAAACATATGAATTTATCTGCATCACGCACGATTTTATTTATGTATTTATTTGTTCATTCATTCATTTCCTATCAACATTAGGTGGTGATTTGGATTGCTACCAGGATTTTGACGTGACCAACATGGCACACACGATCGGACCCCCGACCCCGGAAACCCTGTTCCTGATTGAGAGCGAATCCGGATCGAAAAGTTACACATTGGTGACGGAATCGTCGGATTCAAGCATGTCTCCGGAAGCGGGTCATTGGCGAAACTTTGACCGCGAAAGCTTCATGGCCGACGAGCGAATTGCAAATTTAATGAACCCGCAATTGGACATCAATGGGGATACTTGCTGCGATCAGCATCGATCCGGTGCCGGGGCATGCGACAATTTGCCACGGAAAAAGTTCCTTCGAAAACAGAGCAGACCTTGTTTCGGTAATTTTGTTATTTCGTCAGGCTTGAATCCAAGATCACAAATTTTTTTTTATTCTGCGAATTTCGCACAAAAGTCGCAGAATTGATTTTCAAGAAAACTCAATAATTTTCAGTCATGGCGCTTCTAAACGTGCAAAACTGTTGAGAAGGATATTTTCAAAAAATACTTCGACTTTCCGGTCGGAATTTCGCATTACTTTTTTTGCATTTTTTTTTATTTTTTGTAAAGCAGAGTGCGATATTTTCCTAGCCCTTCAAGGTAATAATTTTTCAAAATCAGCGAAGTTCGCAGACTTTATTTTCAAGAAAACACAATTATAATAATCGATCATGACGCTTTCAAGCGAGCAGAACTGTTGAGGATATTTTCAACAACAAAAAAACCGGACTTTCCGATGGGAACCTCGCATTATATTTTTGCCAACAGTGTTGCGATAAATATTTTTCCCAACCCCTCAAGATAATTTTTAAAAATCAGCGAAGTTCGCAGAAAATTCGCAAAATTTACTTTGAAGGAAACGCAATAAAAATAATCAGTCATGACGCCTTCAAATGCGCAGTTCTGCTTCTTATAGACGGGTATTTTCAAAAAATACTTTATACTTTCCGGAGCGGAGGGGGACCTCGCACTATTATATATATTTTGCACAGGATGTGGGAATACGCATTTTAATTAACCCTTCATACACAAGGTATTAACGCAAAATGTCTTTCCTGTTGTATGCCAAGGTTGCCAACGTACAGCATACTACAAGGAGCTCAAACCGAATCCCATCAGACCAAAGCCAGAGACTTTGAAACTATACAGAATGCGTGACAAATATGCAGCAGCGCCGCATTTTCCGTGCGACTCACTGAAACCCATCGATCCCGGGTGTTGCTTGGTGAGTTATAATGCATTCAAGACCTGAATTTGCGGTGCGGTAAACATAAATGCGTGTGATTTTCAGGTGTACTCCAATGATGACATTCCCAGCAATTGTCTGGTAACCAATCACCCACAATGCAGCAGGAAACATCACATGATACTGAAAACGCGGCGGACGCGAAATGGGCGGAAAGTTGGAGTGGACGTGCTTCGGTTTCAACACGTGATGCAACACATGTGCAATGTTGAGTCACCTACCAACATGGCGACTCCTCAAGACACCTCCACAGGTTTATTCGAAAATTAGTAAAAATTCAATAATTTATTCTTTGACTCATGATCTCTCGTCAAACGGTTCGGGGTTGTTCCTATAGAGACGACAGTCGAAACCTCTTCGAGTCAAAATCATAGGGACACACAAAAATTGACTTCAATTTCAAGTTTTGGAAGCCAAAAATTGTATGGGGGTAAAAATGAATTGATGATCCTCCGGAACTTGAAGCTCTGAAGCTGGAATAGGAAGCAAGGGTTCATTTGCTCAATTACTCATTCAGTTCATTATTCGAAAGCATCAAGTTACATTTTTATTGATTTCAAAGTTTTCAAGAACACAAAATTGGTTGAAGTAAAATCTACCAAAAGAAAGCTCCCAAGGACAAATATTAAATTTATTTTATAATGCAATCGATGGTTTTAGAAAATCTAGGATTACAGTTTTTGGAAAAATGGATGAAATGGATTTTCAACGATGCAATAGCTGAATTTTCATATTTCGCGCAAAAAAAATGCATACCTCATCGCATGCACATATTCTTGGCTAAAATTGTGTTATATTAAAATTATTGATGAAAATAAGTTTGTGAAACACGATTTTTAAAAATCGGATCTTCCAAGAAATTGCTTCTGGTAACCTTGAGTGCAATAATAAAAGCACATGTACTCTCTCTCTCTACAATTCTGAGGAGCCAGGAAAAAAACACATAATTTCGCTGTAGACCCCCCAAGAAAAATTACTTAAACAACTGTGGAGGGAGTCCACCTTCAGCAGAATTCAACTGTATTTCCACAGGTCACAGCATTCCAGTAATAACAGACGAAACCTGGGAATACACTGACCAAAACCGGTACTACCGCCAGCAATTGATCAACTCCTCTGGAATTGCACGAAAAGCCGGTGCTGGGGACCCATCCAGTACATCAGAAGCCACTCAGCAATCTGCACCAACAGAATCCTCAACTTCCAGTGAACTCAGTACAGTAAAGTACTACTGGTTTGACGACTCCATCGACTTGCGAGCCAGAGGCCTGAGAAGAGTCGCGATGTTGCGCTTTAAAAACTACTGCGGGCCCGAATCCGCGCTTCATTCCTACAGCCGAAACAAGAACATCATTTTGCAAACCCTGTGTTCGCAATACAATTTGGAAAAGGGAGGCGTTATTGATGACGAGAAAACGTCAACTAGCGAACCTACTCACTTGGACCAACAGCAGGCATCAACGTGTCTAAACTGTCACAATGTCTTACAAAGTCTCACATCGCAGCCAATGCAGTCGTCTTACAGACAAACTCAACACCAGTCCATCACCCCACTGCAACACCATTTCATACAAGTGCCGATCAGTGCAAAAAACACTTCTTCTTTTGCACGAGAGTCTTCTACGCCAATTACTGGCAGCCGGAAGTCCAGCAGGAAAAATATCGTGCACGAATTAACGCGGAAGTTTGAGGGCATCAACAATCAGATCGCTGTTGACGGTCGACTAGAGCAAATTGCAATGAGGCCATTTTCGAATATCACCGACAGAAGTGCGAGACTTGACAACATATCAAATCCGGCTCAAGTGACGAAAGTTTCGAAAATAATTCAATACCCCAGCGAGGAGCGAGAATCCGGCTTAATTCACGTAAGTTCCCGTTCTTGAAAGGTTTAAGCTTCGAATGATTTTGTGGTTGAAATATTTTAATGCATTCCTATTTAAATGTATTTGTTCAGATACCATAACGTACCATCCACAGCATTATATGTATTTGCTAATTTTTGGAGAACAATCGACTGAACAGAAAGTATTTCATATAATTCCTGGAAATTCGGATATTCGCCAGGCATCAACCAAGACCAGCACTGAACCTCCAAGATTAACAGATATTTCGAATACCCCATTCAATGCCGAAGAAACTGGACAAACACAAATTGGAGAACACTTATCATACCTTGGCAGCACTTCAGCCAGTCCTGAAAATGTCGGACTAGACGATGGTCACGCTTCTCAAATTTTGCCAGGAGACTTGGTGAAAAATCAATTCAGCAGCCAACCCGATGATAATTACGCAAAACCGTCATCATCGCGGAAACGTTCATCATCAGCTCGACGATCCAGCAAATGGAAGACCCCAGTAAATGAAACCGAAATAAAAGCCAAAGATGCAGCTTTTGCAGAAAATCCGCGAGAAACTAGTCTCGCGTGCGTGTGCACCGATGAAATGGGAACGGTGTTGGCCACCCCAACTTTGCGACTTGATGTTCTGTCAGTGATTTCCGATTCCAGTCAAGCCGAAGACTCGGAAAAAACGAAATTCCCTGATAAAGAAGCAGAGAATGAAGAATCATCTCCGAGTACACCGCAAAGATCTCCAACTAAAAAACAACACCAGGAGCAGCAAGTGTCTTCACAACAAAGAACAGTAACTTCGATTTCTCATCCCACTAGTCAAACTTCTCCTGATTACCCGGCGTCTGAGAATGTTGGTCAAGTGGATATTTCAGTGAACAGCAAACGAAGCAAGGGATCGATTTCTCAATATTTGGGAATGGAAAACTTGGAGATGTTGGACGGAGATGACCCGACCCCGACTCATATTACAGACTTGGCGTCAACAACGGTTAAAGGATCATCTTTCAGACAATCCTCTGATCTGACGAAAAGAGCATCCAGTCACTTAGGAAACGCAGAACTGGTTTGGGCAAATGAAAATGGCATTGTTTCCCCAGGGAGTGGAATAATCTCTGATGCGCCGACAAGGATGTCAGACAAAGCTGGGAGACCAAGTGGCGGGAATCAACGGCCTTCAGGTTAAAAAAAAAAAAAAAAACTGAGTACTCAAAAACAATATTTGGTCGATTTTAAAATACAGTAGCATACGCCATAGGCAGGTATACAATTTAATTTTTTTCTATTTCAAAATCTATAAAGTTCAGGTGCGCATCACAAGTTATTCCAATCAGAAATGTGCACCAATTTTGAGAGATATTTCTAAAAAGGTAAATTTAAAATTTATTCAAGTGCAAATTTTAATTATGATTCGTTGCATCCCCTACATTTTTCAACTTTTCTGTCATTAAAAATGAGGCGTGTGTCTATTTACTGTGGGAAATGTTTTCATACAAATTTCAGGAGGAGAAAATCATCTGAGTATCTTACTCAAGAGCACGTGGTATACTTGAATAATTATGGTATAATAGAACTTGTTGAAGCGAATTAATACCGACAATAAAAATTTTTCCCCCTGCTCAATATTCACAATGCTATTTTGATTTTGTTAAAAGAAATTTCTTTTTGTAACAATGCTTTAGTAAGGTCCAAGTGCTCAAAAAAAATTACTGTACTAGACAATGAGGATGGAAGACTGCATCTTGACTCAATCGTAAGTTAACTTCAATAGTTTTCAATCTTGTTTCACGCGTTCAAACGAAAATTTAACCGAGTTTTTTTAATTTTGACGGCAGCTACAAAGGCTGGAATGGATCTTGAAAAAAGTTCGCAGTAGATGAGTAGAGGAACTCCTCATCATAGATCTCAGGAATACAGCACAAAATTTGGTATTCACAGCAAGGTTGACGTTTCCTAGCGTTAAATTCAGTAGCCGCAAATTCATAGTTAACTTTAAAGGCATCTGAGATGCTGACACAGAAGCCTGAGGCAATGTGGTAGTAGACGGTAGATGACTCACTGGAGCAGTAGGGTAGCACAGAACATTTATAAGAAACATGACGCAAAAATTGTTCATGAAGTATGGAGGTAAAAGTGAGGTCAACGTCCACATGCAGAAATATGCAAATATGGCTACTGTAAGCTGATTCCAATGAATTATCCCTCATTTGAGTTATTCTGTAAATCAATCAGCAGAAATAACCTTTTCTAATCATTATCCATTACATTGCCTGCCATCTCTTAAATACGGCTTCTAGCAAGCGTGAGTACGAAGTCGGCGACATTATGTTGAACAAATTTCTTATCTGATATAGTGAAAGGAAAATTTAATCGGGAGAATTCCCCCGCAATTGCTTTGTTCTTTTTTCCTACCAGAGCCTTCGACAATTCGCCAAGTCTCAATTGAACGCCAAACGCCACGGAGAACAAGGGTCAGCTTTGAAGATGAAGCGCCACCATTGAGCACCACTGACGCAGTCAATACTTCAGATATCAACACCCTCACGAAAACTCCAGGAACTCAACAGATCCGTGACACGTTCGATTACCAAACCAATCTCAAAGTCATCGCGGATGACACAATGCATGATTTCACCGAAACGAATGTCAAACTTCAGCCGGATGCTTTTACGTACCATCACGGTCATCCGGATGCAAGTCTGAGACAAACCGGAAATCTAAGTCGAAAATCATCACGCAGGAGCCGGAAATCAAGTGGAAGTCCGCAGGCGGAAGCAATAAAACCTCGGAAAATTAAGGGAATCAAACTGACTGCAGTCCTGGAAGAACCAGGGTTGGAAAAAGAGAGCGATCATGTGTCTTCCCTTTACACCAGGCAATCAACGCGGAACTTTTCTGTTCGAGGGTCCACAGCACCGCCACAAGTTATCCCAACCAGCCGAAGAACTTTTTCAAAAAGAGGTTCGGTTTACGGCCTCGTTTAATTGGATAATTAGTAAATCAAAACAATTTCTTATGCGGGTTGCATCTTACAATTTTCATTGTTATAAGAAATCCGTAGCTTGGGTACTCACTTGAGTCGGCTCGTATCTCAATCTAGACGGATGGGGATTCTTCATGATATTGTATCTGGTCTTTTTCATCTAGGCACCACAGCATATAGAGCCCTATCTACGACAAGCGTAGTTCAATTCGATGTTCGAAATCCCGTATGAATATTTGCCACGCACTCACATTAATCACAGCCACTATTTTCTTGCATTCCGGAAATATAGAATCTCAACCGACGCGTGATGAACAGCACCGTTCTGCTCAAACTACCCCAAGAGAGACAATGCAAGATAGAAACAGATTTCATGCGCCATCAAAGATTGTTTCTGTCGTAAAGCGCGAGAGCCAGAACAGTGATCAATTGGAGCCAAACAAAACGGAAACAATCGTTTTCCATCGCCCAACCAGCGATATCGAATTCGTGGAATCATATTCCCCTGGAACTCACATGCTGAAACGCGGTTCCATGGAGTTCTTCGGAGAAAAATCTTACATAAATACACGACCTCGATTCGACGATCTAGATGGGACAATTTTACGCGTCCAGACAGCAGATGGAAAATTGCGAGACTTGGCAGCGACCTTGCCGGTGGACAACGGGAGGAGACTGCTGCATTTACCAGCACAAGTACAAATACGATCGGAAAATCGCAACAGCGTTCTGGTCCTGGTCCCAAAACGTGATGTGCCAAAAGAAGTCGAAACGGTGCTCAAAAAATGGGTGACTCATGAAAAACGCCAGAGAAACTCAACAGAGCGTCATAGTTCGCGTCTTCATCATCCCATTGAAAAGCAGAGAAGTGGTTCAGAGGAAATTGATCCACACGTACAGCAAAGGTATCCCATTATATTATTCTTATACATATTGTATATAAAAGGAGGGCGTGGGGATCGGACATTCTAAAAATCTTTGAACAACCAATGTAGATAAGCCAAAGAAATCAAGTAAGAGTGGTTTTAGAGTTAAGAAACTAGCACTTGTGTAGTGGGAAACATAGACAAATTGCAGAAAATTATGTTCTGGGCCTTAAATTGCTTCTCAAATGAGTTGACAGGATGCTGAACTTTGAGGCAGGGGCTCATTTGCAAATTTTCTTTGCTTTGTTTCAAAACGCCTTCGTTTTGGCCAAAGGGCCTCCAGAAAATTTGAGCTACACAGCTTAGAGGAGGAAAGCCTTGGATGAGACATCAGGGTGTTTTTAATTCCTTCTTTCCAAGGGATTTCCGACAGGGACGTGAAAATAATTTCGAAATAGGGAGATAATTGACTAACAGAGGTTCGAGGCGATAGTCATCAAGGTTCAACTGTATATTTTATTGGTATTAACTACTGTATGTAGGTATGCTTCCTAACGGGGAAACTTTCGAAATTAAGATTCAAGCTTCTCCGAAATTGATTTCTTTTCCTTGCCAATTTTCTCCCCCAGACTTGATGATCAACACGGACATGAAAAGGCCAAGAAATTAAGGCTTCGCTTCTGGAAAAGCCAGAAACAGCAAGCCGAAAACACTAAAAATACCAAGCTCGCTGAACTGCGGCGCTATGGAAGCGGATCCTCTTTTCAGCCCAGCCGCGATGACTTGATATATTCCTACACTTCCACAGAAATGTTCGACGAGATAAAAAGCAATCAATCGTTAAGTCTCGATCATGATCCCCCAGCACAGGGACAGACGATCAAGAGACTGTCCACAGGCGGCATGAATGACGTGCATGAGCTTTACACTCGTAACGCCACAAGGAACAAAGGGATCCTCACGAATGGTGTGAACGGCCAGAATAGCTCACATCCGAGAAAGGATAATGAGATGAACAGAAGATCAAACAGTCGCGTGCGGATCAGCGATCATTTAGAGATAATCAAAATTGACAGCCCTCGTGAAGAGGTTTTCAAACAAAGGAACCCATTTCTCGAGATCAGACACAGGAATCAATCTCGCAGGCATCAGTCGCACCAGGATCCCATTCATGCAAGTGATTCCAGTGGATCTGAATCTGAAAGTGAATCTACGGATGAAGATGTTTCGCAGAACAGAAGGAAATCTTACGATCGCGGCACCAGGTATTAACAATCCTGTACGTTGGTCTTTTCGCAACTTATGAAACCAACTGCTGTTGTGAAAGGTTAGCGAAGTACTGTAATCCGTTAATCGTAAATACGACTCGATTTTAATGTTCTGATAGGCACAGAAAGCCATCTTCAATCTACATACGGGATGGCCTGTTGGTACAATTTTTAGATTCAAATTATCTGTTCTCGTAGTTGAAGAAAATCAGTTCATCGAGAGCTTCGGATCCATATTATTGTTCACAAAGTCCCTTTTACAACAGCATTTCGCACCATTGAATCCATTTACTTGAAAAATTTGAAAGAGCACTTTCCATCAGCAGGTTCGGAATTCAATCGAAGTTGCCTCTCAAAAATTATAAATACTCGGATGAAGATGTCTGCTCTTCACCCACGGTGCTTAAATCCTGCCCAAGTTCGGACAGCGATTTCAAAACTACTCGGTTCAGCCTCCCTCACAATGTTAACACGTCAACGCCAGGCGGAAACTTGAAAAAATACTTGTCGAATCCAGAAACGCGTTTCAAGGCCTTAGAAAGTTGCATCAACATCAAAAACGAAACTTTTCGAGACAGCGAATACAAGAACAGTTGCGTTGAATCTAAAACTACGTCAGCCACGCATTTGCCGGATTGTCCGACGGGCTGCGTGCGAAACTCAAAATTTTTACAAGATGACCAAATGCGAAGGCGAAACGGGGAGGGGAACATTTCGAGAACGTTTCAAATACCAGTGAATCGTGGGATCAGTTCAATACCTCCGACGACAACTCATCACAATTCAAACGTAAATATGCGTCCATCTTGAAGTAAACTGCTTCGGCGACTAAAGTAAATCCAAGGCAACGATTCATCAAACGTACTGTATAAGCCAAGTGAAAATCCTTATCGATGTTTTTGATAAGTCTCGCTCGGAACCTAAATTCATCTCATATTTAATATATTTTTCGGAACCTTATTCGCGGTTGATAAAAATAAAATGTCGAATACGTTCAGTGTGTTACTAAGATTCCCTTCTTGAAACTAAAGCAAGTGCTCATTATTCAAAATTGGAAGATCATTTGCTCAACAAAAAAACGTTCGTTTCTTTTGAGCTATTACTCATTCTCCTCATCTGATTTTTATTCTAAATAAATCGGATAATTTCCAATTGCATCTCATGGTTTGGTGTTGATAATTCGTTTATACATTAACGGGAATTGTATCTTAGGGTTTCTTGCGCATGAAATCTAGATTTTTGGCGACTCGCTCAAGTTTCGACAAACTCATAATTCACTACATAATTCAAATAATCTTCAATTCCAGATAAAATTCAACACGGAAAAATGGGAACGACCACCTGAACATTCACAATCAGAATCCCGAAGATTCCACACCAGTCAAACGAAAGTCGGAAATCCGCAATTCCGTTCGCTCAAGGAAATACTCGAGGAGGCAAATATTCCGCGAAATCGTCAGATTCCCGAAGGCGATCAACACGTGTCACTCATTAATAACATACCATTTGATCAATATGTTCCAACTCCTGATCATCAACAACGCGTTGAAGAAATCAAATCTATAATACTAGCGAAAGCGAAAGGACAAACAGAACTAACTAATAAGAAGCTCGGTCAGAGACAACTTCAGTCAAAAGGAAGGGAGAAAAATCAGAGCATTGGAATGCGGTTCATAGAAACTCTGAGAGCAACTTTGTCCAGAGATAATGTGAAGAAGAGAAAGAAACACTCGAAGACTAAGATTTCGAACAGAAATATCCGAAGTAAAGACAGTTTCAAGATTTCAAGAAGCAACATCCCCATGGTGGCAGGTAATGCATCAATTTTGATCAAAACGCGGGAGGGTTGTGGGGTAAAAAAGACTTGTCTTTTGCTTTCAATGATCAGTTCATAGAATCAGTGAATCAAAATAAGAACAAATTCCAAACCATTATTCTTGTTGCGTTGACCCGATAGAACCAGGGAATAGCAGATAATTTCAAATATGATTTAATCGATATTAATGCGTCATTTTTTCCCCGATATAAGAGTTCGAATTTGCCAAAAGGAATTTTTTTCCGCCATGCTGAAAATTGTCGCACTTTTTTTCAGCATACGATCCCAGAACTCCGCAAATTTCTCCAGCCTTCACAGAAACATGGACTCAACAAATAATTCCCAATCACACGAAGTCAACCATTCCGGCTCGAAACACTGGGACTATTCGAAGACCCGGAGGTCAAGAGCAAACCTCTTCACAGGATACAACATCCGGAAGTTCAAGTGACAGTATTCAATGAATCTACTTATCTCATTGAACACTAACGGCTCTCCGGTTCTCGTCAGAAGAATGTTTCCGAAGAAAAACTAAGAGTATTCTAAACAAATTTGTTATTCTCCATTTCACGATCCTCGAGTTGATTAAAAATACCGTTGATTTTCATGACAACAGACATAATGCCTACATTTTCTCGAAAAACCACTAACTCACAAGACAACCTCAAAAGTTCGGCCGGAAAACTCGAACGAATATTCGGCTCTGAAATAATTCCCGATAAAATCAACGACAATAATTCTCCACCCACACGACACGTATGCAAATTGCACACCGACGACTGATCTGCTCTGAATGAGGTGGCAATTTATACTTTCCATTCTTTTACAAATGAAATCGCTGCATCTGGAAACATATGAACGGCGGACAAAATTTATGTTCGAAGTTACGTCGCACGGACAAACGAATACTCGGAAAGCTACGGAAAAGCCTCATTCGGAGCCAAGAAGTCGAAATACCCGCCCAATAAGCTTATAACGCCACTCACGCTCAAAACAGAAAAACGAAAAACAAAGCTTACCTCACTTGAAGTCGGAATTCGTCATTCAAAACCAAGTTTCGGCCGCATCAACTTGAACAGATCACCAAGAACAAAACATTCACACACTTGACCATTACATATTTCTCACGAAAAAATGATCACAGGAATGCTCAGATGAAAGCCGATCTCCCCTCACTTTCGAGAAGATGCTTTCGGCTCGTCGGAAGTCACGAAAAAAACAGAAAAAAGTTTCACTTCGTCAAAAAACTAAGCCAATTTTCCATTCCGCAAAAATTCGAAAAAAACGCAGAAAAAAACCGAAGAGCATTCGCGAAAAACTTGTCAGTGCAACAAAAAATTATTCGAATTTTTTCAACGCGTCCAACCGCTGGAGCAACGTAGGATGTGAATGATGCCATGCGGAATACATCCAGTCGTAGATGGGGAAATTCAAGTTGTCAAGATTGAGTTTCACCAAACCGGAACGCAAACCTGACGCGTGGCCCAACTCCGCGGCATAACGATCAGCTTGGAACTCGAACTTCCGGCTCACAACAGACATGAGGAAGCCGAGCAACTAAATAAAAACAAAAAAATATAATTTTTGCATTTTTCGAAACTTTTAAACTTGGGGAGCCTGCATCACCCCTCACACGCTAATAACATATGATTCTAGTACAGTATTCACTCGAGCACCACGCGAACCTTTTTCCCATAAGAACAGGAGCAAAAAATAAGGTTCGCGTCAGAGCCGGGTACAAAATTTCCAGTCAAATTTTTAAAAGTTTAAAATTCTTCCCCACTCAATTTTAAGTTTTTTTTTAAGGATTTTTTGTTTCGCATACAGAAAAAAATTGAACAATGAAGTCAACTTTTAAATGGACTTGAACTGAACTTGAATGTTTACCCCATGTAGTTTTTAAAATATCCCTGATAGGGGGGATAGAAAACTAAGGTGCGCGTCTTACGACGATATAATTTTTTCATAGATTTGAGCTAAAGAAAAAAAAAGGGAAAAAAAAAAAACTAGGGCGAGCGTATTCGAAATAGAATGAAGTAAAACGTAGATTATTTACACAAGTACCACTCGCCTTCAAACGGAGCAACCCATTTAGACTCCGCGCAGCAGAAATGTCCCATGACAAGATAAATCTCTCGTGTCATACTTTTACTTTTGATAAATGTTCAATGATTTTATACTCACAGCATGATAAGGCATGAAGACGAACTGAAGGATGATGACAAGGCTGATCAGCAAAGGCTGCTCATCGATGAACCCAAACGCGTAGAAAAATAAAGGCTGGCGATACAACATCGCAAACAGCGCGAACATCAAGAAGAGGTTCACCTAAATCCAAACCAACAATTGTCACGGCAGTCCAATGATTGTAAAACATGCGAGGGGTTATTACCTGGCCAAACACGATGTGGAACAGAATATGACTCTTCTTCCAGTGACCCAGTTCATGGCAAAGGATAGCCACGACTTCAAAATTCTTGCACCCCTTGGTTTTCTTGGGTGCTTCTTCACTGTCTACGCTGGTATTCTCGGATTCCTCGTCGCCTTGAGGACCCTGGTTCTTTTCCGATTCATGTTTCGTCTCTTCTTGTTCAGCTTTGTCACCGGCGCCGTTTTCAAGATTTCTTCAAAGTTTCAAAATTTTTTTCAATATGCAGATCAGGTTCCAAACTTTACACAATTGCACTCTTAAAAGTGCTAGAAAAGTCTCCTGGACACTTTACTTATCAATTTCATCCAGTTAATTTACGGGATACTAGTTCAATTATCGTCCACTTGAACTCATGCACAAGAATTTAAGGTTATGGTTTTCTGAGGGAAAGAAGTCAGGCTTACTTTGTTTCCGACTCAGCCGAATTCTCCTTGTCTTTATCCAATTTCTTTTCAGGTCCTTTCGCTTCTTTTCCTTCGTCTGCTTTGTTCAACGGCGTGTAATCCGCAACAAGCGTGTCGTACAAAACAATCCGTTTGTTACTGAATAAACCGTAGAAGTAAGCGTTGCTGTGAGCAGAACGCTTCGAACCTTCAAATATAATTTTAAAAAGTTGAATTAAACAACTCATTCGGACATTTTTCCGATGGTGATCAAAGATTGAATCAACAACCCAAAAGAATTACAACACCAAAAAAGGTACGTTCCAGAGGAACTTGAGGAAAAATACGTACCTTCCACGATGTAAAGCTTCTTGAGCGGGAACTTGACTTTTGAAGCCATCGCCTCAATCTCCACCTTCAACGGACCTTCAGGCAACACTGTGTACTTGTCAAAAAGCGGTGCAATGACGGATGGGTAAATCGCCATCAAAAACAACGACACAACGCAACAGAATCCCCACAGATATACGAAGAAAAGTTCTCCGCCAGCGTGGATAATATACAGGACGCCGACAGTGATAGGAACCGTGATCACCAGATCGACGATGAAAGCCTTCAATTTGTCCTTCGCAAAAAACCACGGCGTCTGCGAAAACAGAACGTTAACACGTGAAAAACTACGATGATTTTTCAGTTTATTTTCTCAAATCGTCACCTGACGGTTGAATCCATGCCTTTCCTCAAGAACGAACGTTTTGTAAATACTGAATGGAAGGTCGATGAGTCTGCTGAATACTGACATCAATAACAAGCACACGATGCTTTGTCCGATTTCTCCATGAATATTCAAAGCACCCAAGAAAGTTCCTTCGTCGTACTCAACTTCGAAATCATCAGGGTCATGGATGGTCAAAAAGGGTGTTGGATCCACGTTTGCAATTATTAGACCTCGACGAAACGTTTCTCCAGAAATTTCCCAGGCATACGGCAGCATTCCCCATACCAGCAACACCTGAAAATTTAAAAACCTAATTTTCACATCAGAGGTACAGTCAAAAAGTGCTCGGTCCTCACCGTCGTGATGATCTGTGAAATGAAGTCCTTCAACAAGGAAAATGAACACTTGTCCCATTCGTAAAGTCGAGCCTTTTGGAAGGTTTCTGCGTCCATCACAGTTTCCAAATCAACGGGAACCGTCGGATTTTTTTGGTAAACTTTCCTCTGAAAAAAAAATTAAATTAAAATAACACTGACAGCTGGGAAATTGGTCGAATACTGAGAAAACGACTCACTTGTCGAAGAGACAGGAATGTTTCCCATGAGTATATGAGCCATACAAATGCAATTATACCGAAGAAAAGCTTTTCGGCGAGATCCAACTCATCTTCCGAAATATCCTCCTCCACGGCAGGCTCTTCAGCCGCGAAGAAGTGCAGAAGATCCGTGAATACCATGTAGAAAACCCCGCAGCAAATTTCAAATTTAACTAGACCGTATCAAAAGGGCCAACTTCCTGCAAAAAGGATTACGAACTGAAATCAACCACCATTTCAAAATTCTTTGTAATTCTGGAGTGGAATAAAAGTCAGCTTCGACGAGATCGCCATTTGTATTCCGCCAAGTCAACACTGAAAAGTTAGAAATTTGCAATCAGCCAGAAAAAAAACCATCACTTGAAAATAACAGCAAAAGGAAAAAAAATCTTGATCCCCGCAAAGCTCCACGTATCACAGAGAAACTCGCGAGTGCGAAGGGATCAAACGCCGTACAAAAATCGCAGAACATTCTCCTCCCTATTTGAGATCACCTCATGCTTTTGACGAGTGTCACAGCAAAACAAAATCTAAAGCAACGACTTTTACTTAATGAACTCCAAAAAGGCGTAGAATCGTGACGAGCGTGCATGTAGCACAACACAATCCCTCAATAATAAAAAATATGAATCACGCCTTTGGACGGTAAGCCTTGAATAATGTCGCCATTCTGTTCAGAACAACAGGTGCAAGATTGTCTACTTTTTATTCAATGAGCTTTTGAGGCACTTTGATAAGTAGACAAGACATTCAGTAACGCAGATCTTTACCAAAAATCCAATTTCACATCGATCACATCTGTTTTTTTTTTTTTCATTCAAAATCAGCTACAGAAACCCATAACCCGCGTCGCTGAGAAGAAACTCCAAAAACATTGGTTCCATTAATTCGAATCACAATGATTACATACAAATGAACGTGGATCAGTGCACCGGAACTTTAAATTTCTCAACTAAGCACTAAACATATTCTCGACACCATCAAAAGAACTCTGTCATAATAATAAACGATCGCATTTCTTCGAAGGTAATTGCACTTGGCAGAGCTATGCATTTAAATTGAGAGTTACAAAAGACATCCGATGCTGTACAGGATAGCAACGTCTTCCCCCCGACATAAAAGTCAAACGTTCTTGTCAAAAATCTTTCCAGGGAAACCTGAACAATTGGTGACTGGTACAATTAAGAACTGTACTCGTACAAAAATTGTCGACACAAAACCTTGGTCAATCATCTTCTTCACGCTTGAAAGCTCTTTCCGTTCGTTTTTGTTTTGAATGGGGTTATTTTAAATAATTACTGATCATCGGAAAAACTAGAAAAAGATCATCTACCCAGAATGTCGAAGAATGATAATGTAAAATCTATTTACAAAATGAACTAAAAAGACTCCTACAATTTCAGAAGCCCTGATTGAAAGCATACCCCACTAATCCATCGGGGACGATTGGACTCCCATGGGAACTTGAGCTTCCACATATAAATTCCGTCTGAAAGATCAGAGCAGGTTCAAAAGATATGCTTCGTTGTTCAAAAAAGATACTACAAATGCCAAGTATTAAAAAAAACACGGTCTCGATTAGAAAAAAGGCGCGTCACTGAAAAAAAAACCCCATGACTACAAAAACACCGCCTCATCATCGCACAAAAACACGAATGGTCCATCATCAAACGGGAATCAACTTGAGCCGTTTGGGCTGCATGGCTTGGTTCAGACTCACAACAGCAGTGTCGTCGAAAAGCTCCGCCGGCGCCATTCGACGCGCAATAAACGGCAGGGCCACAGTGGCGGCCAAGTAGAGCCAGTAGGGGTACGGTGGAATGCTGGGCAACGGGGAAAGCCAAATACCACGTCTATAGCCGTCACGGATGTGATGCGACAGCGCAGACACGGCGATAACGAGGGCCAGGCGCCGGATCCAGAGTTGGTGCTGCAGCTGGCCCCAAACGTACAAGGCGGCGCAGGACGTCATCACAAATGAGGTGCAGTGGAAAAGCGGGCGGTGGTGCAACGCAATGGCGTCCTGGGAAAAACAACAGCTTGTGAGATGGAACATAGATTGAGCAGAGCGTAGTGGAACCGACTACTCGAAGGGGCTACTCGGACGTTACCAACGAACCACACCCTGCGATGAGCTCGCTCATTGAGGTAGAAATCCCTACGTTATCGAAAAAAGGAAAGATATCTGATGATACAGTATATGTTTCAACTGTGAGCTCGAATGCTCAAAAATCTCTACTGCGAAGTCCAAAAAGTCACTGCGCAGCATGAATTCTTCATTTTATGAATTGTTCTACTCCCTCCACCATAATTACGTATTGCTTTCTTGCGTGAGGAAATGGATTTTAAATTTAATTGAGTTGAGTCAAGGAGAATTTGAAAACGCAGCGAAAATACGGAATTTTCACGATCAGTAACTTTTTGGACATACTGAAGTACACTACATTACCAGTATTTCTGAAAACTGAAAAGTCTACAAAATATACAGAAATGTTCGTAAAAAACACTAAATGTTGTATCCAGGAGAGCATCATCCAATGTAATTCAACTGAAAGGCTGAAGAGATTTTAAACCCACGAAACTTGAACAACAGATTTCCAATTCGGAGAACAGCAGAAAACGCCACCTTAAAACGTTAAATTACAGGATAACGAAGATAGCTCATGAGGTTATGTCTTAATTGCATTAAGGAGTAAATTATCAACCAAATATCGCAAACGCAACTCCCAAAACAATACAATTATTCGTCGAGTTGGGTACAAGAAAAAAATAAGGGCATTCAATGAAATTATAAAGTTCGGATCGAGTTTGATACTAGTGTACTTCAAGGTTAGCTTCTGGAATAGTGTATTTCAAAGCTAACTTCTGGAACAGAAAAAGAAACCGAGTTTCTTTCTTCCAGACCGAGAAATACCGAGTTTTGCCACCGCAGAGAACCCGTGGCCCAATTTAGCATGACGCTGTTATCCACGAGCACCTCCAGCGAAATGCGACCACTCTCCAGCATTTCCCCGAAGGAATACGTTGGTGAGCAGCAGCAAGCAGCTAAACACATCTCTGGACAAGAAAGAAGCAGAACCCACGCATTCCCTTCAAACATTCCCTCGCCGTCGAAAGAAACAAATGCCCAAAAAACAGGAAAGGTGACGATAAACGTCATGCATCTTCTCCTTATCGAGAACATCAACTGGTTTCTATCGTTCCAGTCTGTTATGGACTCTCAAAGAAGAAAAACTCCCGTCGAACAGAATTTATTTCAACAGATTCGGCCAATCATAAACTTGAAAGATTTATAAAAGATATCGTACTGTACGAAAATCAGTATCAACACGGTACAATACTGTACTTTCTTACAAAAAATACAGTCGAACTTCAAGGACTCAAACCTTTCTATGTCGAATTATCTTCAAATCCATGCCTGAATTCCCTCAGAAAATATTAATTAAAAACCTCAATTTTCCAAAGGCCCCCCCCCCCCCAAATCTCCATGAGTCGATTTTTGGGAGGCCTTTTGGCTATTTTAATTGACACAGGAAAGATAAAAGCAATAAAAATGTAACTTGATGCGCTTTGTAAGGAACTGGAAGACTAATTGGACAAATTAACCCTTGCCTCCAAGTTCAGTATCCAGTCAATTAAATTAAGGAGGCAATTTAAGACACAGAATATCAGCAATTAAAATGTATTGCAATTTTTATTTCTTTCCGCCAATAAAAATGCTCGTTTCCCCAACCAACTATTTCTAACGCTTTCTAGCCTTTTGAAGTTCGACTTGAAGAGGTTACACTGCATTCTGACGTGAAAAGTTGAATTTGGAGTAAATTAGTTCTGATTTATGTCATCTTTCCAACATCGGACCAACACCATGAACTCCCACAGACTGGAAAAATCCACGAAAAAGGGTCCCGAGTCCACGGAAGAACTCCCTTCGAACGTCAATTCACATTCATTAGAAAATAAGGACGGACATAATGCTAACTTCTTGAACAACAGTTTCGAAGATGTAAAAAATTCCTCAAATATAATTTTCGAAAGAAGTACTATAGTAGGTCTTCCATTTTTAATACCGTCAAACCACGGGGAACCCACATCCAAGCCCGATTATTCATCATTACTTCAAGGGGTCGCACAGAAACCCGAGAATCGACCAGGCATCCATTATCCAAAATCGCGATCATTGTTTATACAGCACGAACATGGTATCCGAAGCCAACACGCAAATGAAAAATTCAACGACTCAACTTCGATTATTACCATTCCGGCTTATACGCACAGTCGCAGTGATTCGCGGTAAATTATTCTGCTAATGCCAAAAGTTGCCTTTCCGAGCCAAATTTTACATACTCGCGTCTTCCGGAAAGCTCATCATAACTACGCATGAACAGTTAATCGACCAGCTCGTCATCATGAATATTCTACCACACTCTCCTCCTCAAACATTTACAAATGTACAATTGTTTGTCTCAAAAATGCGTTTTTACATGGCACAAAAGTAAGCTACAGTACTCATGATTCCCCGACCATTTTCATAGGAGGCGTCTGAATAATAAAGTGGAATGTTGGCCCTAATTAAGGTTAAATTCATTTATGAATATACTGCATACGACTCTTATAAAACAACATGTACAGTGGGTCCACGCATAACGAAACTAATCCGTTCCTGGACGCGTTTCATAATGCGAAACGCGATTTTCCTCCAAGTTACATTATAAACCATTTCATTCGTTCCAGACACTCACCTAAGTACAATAATAAACCTTATAACTGTGTATTCTGCTAAGTTGTCAGCATTAAATTGTCAATTTTAAATTGAGTTGCATTAAAATTCAGTATTCCTGGCGATTTTGCGCTCCAAACTTTCGAAATTCCACAAATTTCAACAAGATGCAGAACTACGCCCTTTCCTTGTCATTTTCTTCAAATTTTTTAAAACGCTGAAGTTTCAGCCCAAAACTTGATGATAGTTGAGCTTTTTTTTTTTTAAATGCGTTATAGGAAACACCTTCATTTCGCGGATCATTTTTTCGCCATACTGTAATAATTTTCGTTATGCGGGGACATGCTGCGAAGCGCTGAACTCATTTTAATACGGTGATTTGAATCAAGATTTTCTCCGGGAGACGTTAATGCGGGATACCTTCCAAAGAAGCGAACATCAGGCTTGATTATGATTTCCTCGACGAGGCTCAACACACGTAAAAAAATAATTATAAGAAGTAACTACAGTAACATGAAACTGAAACTTGCACGCAGACAGACACCGTAAAAGCAAAATATACATACATAAATAATTTTAAAAAAGAACAAGAAAGCAACAAGCTTGAAGACCATATACTGACTTGAAGTCTAAGCGAGCAAGCAGCAATGAAGTGGTCCATGTCGATGAAACTGCCCACGAAGGCAGCATAGAACACCTCGTCGCAACAAAGGGCAAGCTTCGGGTACACAAAGATGGCCCACGTAAACCCGGCCACAATGGCGTGCGTCACATTGTCGATCACTGCTCGAGACCAGAGCTGTTTCTGAGGAGACCAGCCGTAGGACGCAATAGCGTCCAGCATCAAATCTCCAGATATCGCCACAAGCACCATCGACGAACACAAGACTAGGTAGTGTAGCAACCGCATTAATCGTATAGCCATTGCAAAGCACGGTTGCCGCCGCTTATCACACGCACGGAAAGAAAACGAGACTTGTCTTTCTCCCACCTACGAAGGAACATACCGAATAAAGTAGCTCAGTTTTCGACATCGTTATAAGGAAGAAAACGCCAGTTGCCACGATAAATGTCACTGTAATGAGCCCGCGCATAACGAAAGACTCACACAACGAAAAACCAGCCAAATGAAAAGTCTTCAAAGAAAAACGTATCAAACATAATGGACTTCTTCAACTCAACGAAATTTTGTAGCTGGAAAATGGTCAAATTTTGGCAAGTTTTCGGCTGAAACTTCAGAATTTTTAGACGAAATCGGGGAAAATTAAAAAAAAGGGCATACCATTCCCTGTTCTTGTCTTTGAAGAATTGCGAAATTTATGAAATTAGTATCTTTTCAAGATCACTTGAATTGAACACTAATCCACTTTAAATTCAAAAATTTGTGCTGAAAATTGAGAATAATGCGCTTTTATTATGGGCTTTTGGCGCACTTCTAAAACGCAATACTTAATTGACAGTATGATGTTACCTTGCGGGAAATCGCGTTTCGCACTGCGACAATTACACGTAACAAAACGCGTCCAGGAAGGGAATACAGTATTTTCGTAATGTTGGAACCTACTGTAGATAATGAACAGAAGCGCAATATTTAGCTTAGCTTTGCTAATAATTGAAGGGTGTACACTGCGTACAGTATTCGAGAAAGCTTATCCTATCTTGTAAATAACCGTCTTCTGTGCGATTATTTATTTGTCATAATCCGTCTTGAATTTGCTCAATTCTTCCCAGTCGCGTTTTCTTCGCGCTCCTTCGCGAAAGTCACACTTTTCCTCGCGAAAGCATATCATAAACGTCCTGTAAACAAATATTTCGATCAATATGAATTCCACAGACCTCGGACTAAAGCACGAATTAAATCATAGATGCTGTAAAAAAAAAACGCATTCATAGAAACAGCGAAGATTCTTTTTCAATCACCAAAAAAGGGCGTTTCCGTCGGCAGTTTCAGATAGAATACACCTAAATTCCATTTCATAAGGGGGAAGGGCGAAGCACAACCGAAAAAAACGTCGCGACCGGAATGAAAAATGCCGGGAGAAATTCCGTTACAAATCACTCAAAATTTTGCCATTCCACCGATAAAATATAGGCACTACCGGGAAATCCGCATTCCCGGATAACGATTTCAAAAATAAGTCCGTCAAAAGCAGCGGGTAAAATCACAGATATCTTCGTCTGATACACGGGTACAAATACAACTGACGACTAAAACATGAACGACCAGACAACTTAATATCCCCACGTTCTCGAGTCCCATAACAAAATAAAGGGGAAAAACCAAAAGGAACCCCAAGCGTGACTAAAAAAAAAAACAATTTCGCAACCCAGGATATTCTACGTTTTTCGGGAGATCATTAATGAATTCCATATGCAGCCATGAACTCTCAGAAAGAAAAAAAACCCGAAAAGAGTATCAACATCATCAGAACTCGCTCGTACGAAGGCCATTCTCGGAATTTTGGACGAATACAAAAAGACAGCAAGATCTTCTTTCTGAGTTCAAACGAAATCTTTCAAAGCCACAACAAAGAATAGCCTCCTTCAACATTACGGGTTTTCCCGGGCCATCTCGAGATGTGGTTTAATCCTCGGCTTATCTTTGTCTCCAGAATTTTTTGTTCTACAAAAGCTGTCATCCTTGCTTCTCCAAGCAAACCAGATCGTCTTTCAAGTCAGCATAGCATTGGACTTAATTACAATGAGAGTACAGCATTTTCTGGGTTTCATGGTGAATTTTCTTTGTATTTTTCGGATGCTTTCTTGCATAAAAATTAATCTTAACGATAATCCAGCAAGAAGTGCAGAAGAACATACCGTAGCTACAGCAATGCGACAAACACGGTATCCCAATTCAATTCTAGAATTACTCGAATATCTTTTTTAATTTTAGTGAAAATGCATCGCTCAATGAATGGATATCATGTCAAAAATCGAACAATTTGAAACCAATTTCAGGCTGTGCACGTTCAACCAATTATTGACATTTCAGTGTAATGAGTGCCTAGAAGATGACAGATGAGGAAAATTTTCGACAGATACGATGCCGGTGTAGACGGCACAGCGCACTCCCGGCATACACAGGGTGCACTCCAAGAGTACGTCTTGCCTAGGCAGGGTGTATTCCACCCTGCCCACAAAGAAAATATGTATAACATTTGTACAATTTTTTTTATCATTTTAAATTGCATTATTTTGGAATTCCGATTAAAACTTGACCATCTCGTGAATCGCACTGCTGAAAATTCGTTCACTTCTTCAAGGTCCATCCCGCATTGTGCTTGTAATTCAAGTTGTAAGTTACTTCTGAATGATTCAAAAATACTCTGTTTTCGTAGTATTCAAGTCGCACAAAGTTGTAGAATCATTCGTTTTAATAATAGTTACATTAATTCTTCACAAAATATTGCATTCAATTTTTTTATTGTTCAATTGTTCTATTCACATTTAAACCTCTGTTCATTATCATGCTCACGGTTTTCTGCTACTCCATTTCCTCCATTCCAGCGTTTTCACTTCCGAAACCGATAAAAATATGAAAAAGAAAACAAACGGGCGTCCAACAACTTATTCAACGTGCTTTTTAAAGTTTTCCTATTTCGTTACGTCACACTTTATACCCGCGGAATTTTGCCGAGGAGTCGCCGCAAGATACAGAAAATGCAAATTGAGGGAAATTTAGTTCTGCGTCAGACGGGAGAATCATGCCTTCATAAATGCAACTTATATACCGGGAATGACTTACAACATCTTCTGATGACCTAGCAGCACTTCTTAACTGGCTCACCGTAGACGAGAGGCATAGGAAATCCGTTCGCGGCCAAAGACCTCAATTCCCCGTTGGGTCCGCTCACGGGAATGAACCCGGGTTTGACGCCATCCCATGCTTCGTCCACCCTCAGCAACCCGGCGTCAATTCTCGCCATTATTTCCCGCGCCACAGCGTGGAATAGCAAATCAACGTTCGACCCAGTTCTCGCAGAGACCTCGAACGCTCCGCAAACATTGCCAGCCCGATGATCGCGACACGCATCGGCAGCAGCCGCGGCTTCGGAAAATAGTACTGCTCGTTGTGACGAGAGGTCACTCTTAGCTCCTACCAGGAATATGACTGCCAACGACGGAGGGCCAGGTCCGTCGCAAACAGGTCCAGCATTTTTCTCAATCTCTGTGAGCCACAATTTGAGGTGCTCGAAGGACTGGCGATTGGTCACATCATAGACGACTAGGGCGGCAGCGGTGTTCCTATAGTACGATCTTGTGATGGACCTTACGAAATTTAACGAAGCAGAAATTGATACAATATTATGATAACATTAAATGCGACGCGCACAGGGGCGCAGACTTTTCGTCGAAAAACTTCAAACCATAATCTTTCAACATCCACAGTACTGTACTTCAATTTCGGAAAAATCTCGTAATTCAAGCAGTCTTTTTGGCACTTGAATATTCAAGCTTTCCACACCATTTTCTTCCAAATCAATCGAATAGTGTGAATACACTTACTCAGAAACTACCTATAATTAATCAAAATGCGTTCGTCTTCAAAATCAGATACTACAGGACTAAATAGATCTGTAGTTGCGTTTCTTGTTAGGACGACAAAAAATTTGATTTTTTTGTATTCCAGTAATTTTTAGGGATGTAGGAGGGACACAAATGAAATTATAAAAACCTGAAGCGTTCCTGGCCAGCGGTGTCCCACAATTGCAACTTGATCCGGCTACCATCATTCAACTGAACAACTTTCGAGAAGAAGTCCACACCCACAGTAGGATCGGACACCTACAATTTTTCAACATTTTGCTTCGTGTCACGCGAAGGTTCGGTAAAAATGCGAAAGGGCAGCTCACCTCGAAAAAAGATTTGTCGGTAAAAGCTTGCAGAATCGACGTTTTTCCGACTCCGCTATCACCGACGAGGATCACACGAAATTGGTATTCGAAAAAAGGGTCAACGTCGTACGTTGATTCTACCACAGGTAGAACACCGTTTTGAGCGGTCATAACGACATTACCCGCATCATTCACGCAAAGAAAAACAGATCTAGAAAATAAAAATCAATGATAAACAAGCAACACGAGGTAGAAAAACATCTTCAGTATAAGAATGCTCGAAATAATAGAGTGCACAAGGTCAAGATACAATTTCACGTGTTATGTCACGCGTTTTCGGAGAAGATTCAAAACATATAATTCAAAATTCCAGCTTGATGCATGAAACTTGCTCAGACATTTCCGCAAATCCGAGTTTCTTCAGGATAACGGATAACTCGCACAGAAGATCCCTGAAAGAAAAATATGGAACAAGCATAAAATTTGAATTCAATAATGAAATTAGGAATCTCTCACTTTGATTCGGACCCATAAATATCAACAGTGTCGGCCAGCTCTTTAATTTGCCGAGATAACGGCGCCAATTGCGACAAACTATTTCCACCGGCAAACCAACATCTCGGAAGGGAGCTGGAAATCTGAAAAATGAAGTCAGATTAGAAACGCAGGGAAATTTGGCAATTATCTAATACTTGCCTGGCGGATTTTCGCCAAACTTTGTCCAACCGGGAACACGGAAATAGACTGACTGAGTGCCAACAGCATGTAGCGATTGACCAACGAGTCGACCGCAATGGTTTGCAGAGTTTTGTCAGAAATAATTCCTTGCCACGAAACAAAATTTCCCAATGCCTTCGCACAAGTCCAAAACTGTCGATTCAAAAATGCACCCGCTTCTGGTCGCGAGGTGAATATCCTGAAGAAAAAAACCCGAATGAAAAAGAAGAGCAATGGTCTACAAGAAATCGAAATCTCACGTTTTCTGGTACAAGGGTATGAAAATATCGCTCTCGATCGTTCCTTTCATGCGTTCTATGATAGCTTTTAGCAAATTCTGCAAATGCTTGCTTTTGCCAGTGACAGAAGGATATTCTTCCGTCAAACGCTTCACCAAAGTAACCAGTCGAAGTGTTTTCGACGTCGACAGCGGGTCCCAAACTTGAGAAATTAAATCTGAAAAATAGAGGGTGATGATCTCATTGAAATTATTTACTTCAAAACAAAATCCGTCAAGGTATTCTTACTGCTCAACTTCGGCAGAACTGTCCTCTCCACAACGAACGAGACCAGTTTTACATCAGGATCTTTATTCAGGTCTTCATTGGCGCAGTAGGAAATCAGTTCAGTAAACCATTCCATGCTTTCAATTTCTTCACAGTCGGCCTACACACGAATCAAGATCATAAACACAACGAAATCTAGATACAATTTTAAAATGACGAACCTCCAGTGGATTCCAAAAAAGCAGGCCGAGCCTTACGAGAGGAGAAAATATTTTGGGCAAGCACAAAGGAACGAAAGCATTCTTATACGAATCCTCGTCTTTCGCCTTCCATTCGCGGAATTTTTCTTTAATATTCCGAAACAAGCAGAAGTCGTCGATTGTGTCTGCGAAAACGCCGCGTGCATCTTGTTGGATGAGTCCTGCGAAAAAAAACACGTTTGGCATTATGTTTTCACTTGGGAAATCAATAAATTAACTTCATTCAAAGAAAGCGACGATCATGTTGGAAGAAGGCTAATAATAAAATCAGCATACCCAATTCTTGCTGCATCTTCTTCATGTCTACGTCAGTTTCTTCATCATCCGAACTCATTCCTTCGAAATGAGCTGGAAGGGCAACCTTCTTTCGATCGATTTCTCGGGCACGTTTTCGTCGAAGTCGTCGACCTTCTCTTTCAGCAATTCGTCTTCTCAGTTCTTCATCTCCTGCTCTTTGAAGCTTTTTCACGTTACCGGAAACTCCTAAATACATGCCCAAGAGGATTAAATTCGGAAATACCGCAATATAATTCGTGGCACCACAAAAGCCATCAATAACCATGTACAAAAAACAAATCTTTATTATCCGAAAAATTAAATTTTCTAGCGAGTGTGCGCCCAACTTTGATTGGTCTAAACATCTTCAGAAACAACGCACTGCGTTGAGTCTGCTTCAGTTACTGGGTAAATTTTAAGAAAAATTTCCGATACTAATGTGATTTTAAGCTCTCGTGCCTTGGAACTCGAATATGGGGTAACCATTTGCTCAATCGAATTTCAAGGTCAATCTTCAAAAGAATTCTTTTGTCAGATCCATTTTGCTATTGTAAGACGACAGAATTTTTGCGAAGAAGCGAAAAAAAAATGCGAAATACGACGTCCTTAGATGCTTTTGGGTTGTCAACGAAAAGAAGACAGCCATTACCAACCTGTCGAATTGGCGAAACCTTCATGCTCATCTTTCACATCTAGCCGTCGACGTTCGATGAACTTGTTCGCTCGATTCCGCCACAAAGCCATTATTCGGGCTTCCAATTTTTCGATGCTGTTCATTTTTTCATCCATGCATTCGACGAAATCCATCACATAACCTCGCAATTCTTGAAAGAATCCGTACTTGGACGCTGCTTCGGGCTTTCTGCTCTTTGATGAATCGATGTCGCTCTGTGCACTGATCAATTCATCGGCGACCTTGTCACAATCGAGTTGATGTCTCCGGTGGACTTCACGCAAGGTATCCAGTCTGAAAGAGGAAAAAATTTCAGTTGATCTAAAGATCAGAAAGCGAGAGCCAATAAAATACACGTGGCTGTAGCGCGAAATGGCTGTAGTGAGAGCCGGATGAAGTGCGAGGGCCCACTGTACTCACTTTTCCTTTATCCGACAACGAATAAGATCAGCTGTGACTTCGCTCTCTCGAAGTGACGCCAAGGATTTAAACGATGGTTCGCCGAGGATTGAAGAGGCTTTCAAAAAAGGCTTCGCATCTTCAAGGATGAGAGGAGCCGTAACTGATGAATCCCAATCAGCAAAATGGCCTGACGCTGTAGCAACCGCGGCAACCGCAGTGGTTCTCATTGCTTCGCGCTGGTTCGTGGATCCGAATGCTTTGCGAATTTGCTGGGCTTCCCAGCGCTCGATTTCTCCGTCGCTTTCATGGCCTTAAAATGATAGATGAATAATTTGAAAAGGAAATAGAAAATCTCGATTAGAAAAGAAAAAAGTTTTAAAGCGGAGGTCTTTAAAAATTGGACCACACTCCTTGACACGTTTACAAAACAGGCTAAGAACGCGCGTCCGCGTTCAGAAATATTTCCTCTTTTTCACCTTTAGAAAAAAATTATTATTTGATTATACTTATGTCAGAAACTGACAGAATATTCTCGTTTTCGAAAATCCAAGAGCATAGAAATCTCCTTGCATACGAAGACATTAAGTCCAGCAAGTGATGACTACTACTCGACTTGAAAAAAAGAAGTCCCGCAATTTAAAGAAATACGCATGTAAACTTAATGCTTCATCTACAGTATTCAGAAAAAAAAGTCATCGCAACACCCCAGAGAAAATACACATGCAATAATAAAATACCTTCAGCATCCAGAAAAGCTTCCATTCTTTGTTCTTTCTCCTTCGCAACTCGATTGAACGCAAATGCGATGACATTATCACCGTCGCCTTCGTCGTCACTTCTGTCATGGTCTTCTTCCCGTACTAATCTCGACTGATTTTGAGCTCGAGAAGATCGAAGTCGTGCTTCATCGGACTCTTCGGAACCTTGTCGCGGTTGTTTTCGTTCACCGAAGTCAAGGAACTCCTTGTTTTTATCCGGAAGCCGGATGAACTCTGTTGATTCGCCTAGCTCCCGCGCACGTTGTCTCCGTTTTCTTGCCTCGTGTATCATGGCAGCAGTTGGTACCACACCACCTGTTGAGGAAATTTGAAGATCGTGCTTTATGCACAGCAATCTCTAGCGTTTTCATCGGGATCACCAACTGCTAGCAAAACAAAAAATGGTCACTGGATGATTCGACAGTTTTTTCTCAGTTTAAAAACTTGCCCTTCTACTCCTGACTTTCGCCAGCAATAGATCAAAAATGCCAACCCAAACACAACAACTCTTCCACTATTAGATTTTTATTAAACAGCTGTTTTAAAACTGATATAAAATCGATCAGCTCTGAAACGGCCTGTGAAAAAAAAAAAGGTGAACAGAGGTCGATGGAAATTCTAACCCACTTTCTAGCATCCTTTTGAACGGATCGGAAAACGTGTGTCTTGATCGAGGATCATGTTCTTCTTCACTTTCTTCTTCGTATTCCATAAGAGTTGATTCGGCCTCTAATCCCGTCAGCACTTCTCCGTCACGTTCCGTTTTCTTGGTGGATACTGGCATATCTTTGACCTTTAGGAAGGGCTTGTCATCTTCGTCAAGAATTTCCTTTGTTCCCGAGGTCTGGAATATTACCACGAAGAATAGCCAGTCACGTACACACAGAATACAAAAATCAATTCACGGGACCGAAAGTTCGAGCCTGCTACGTACTTCCGATTGTGTTACGTCGCATACTTCTTCTTCGTCCTTAGGTTTAACGGTTCGCTCTTTCTGAATTAGCTTCTTCAGCTTCTTGCTCTGAGACGATTTCTTGACTTTGAAAACTTCTCCGTCGTCTCCTAAAATAATTTTTGGGTTCAACATGAACTAAAACCAGAATCTTTGAATCAGAGATACCTTCCAGCTCATCCCCGAAAGATAGGAGAGACACTTCTGATGGAATTGTCGGCTTCGGCACTTTTTTCTTCTCCTTCTTCTTCGTGTTTTCTTTCTCGACGGATGATCCGTTCAGATTATGATCCAATATTTGATCTGTCACCACTGCGGCTGATCTTTTCTCTTCATCATCACTCCCTTCCACCGCTGTTTCGCGAAGCCTGAAATTCTTCTTCGGTTTTTTGAACATCTAATAAACAAACAAATAATACTGTGCTTGAAAACCAAATTCTCATAAATCCCGCGCTGAAATTCGTATTTCAATATTGTGATTCCCGTTACTCAAAACCATCACTTTCATTCATTCAACACAAACTCAAACGATCGCCGGACAATATTTCATAGTGCCCCTTTACCGAGTGGACCCAGTCCTGAAGATCGCGTTCCTTGAACTCAAAACAGAGACACCAACATAACATGGTAGTTATGTTGGTGGGTCCACAAAACGTACATCATGTCAGCAATGTGCTATGCCGTTGCATTTAAACTAAACAATTTGATAATCAGGGCTATCCGTTCTGCTTGTTCATGCAATCAGACTTCAGCAATGTAATTTAATGTAATGTACTAAGACCCCCGGACTTCACGACTGTCTGCATCAGTGTGAATTTTGTGCGTTTTAGCCACAAAAATATACTTCAGCTATTCCGCAGCAGAGCGATCAACATTCTTATTAATATACTGTACAATACAATAACTAACGATTTGTGTACAGTACTCTTCACTATACAGTACAGTACATGGATCCCACAAATCTTTTCATTTGAAAATAAACATATAAATGTGAACCCTTGCTTGTGTTTTTTTTTACTGTACTGTACAGTATATGTAAAGCCAGCACACATAAGAAACGACTGTGCGCTTGCGGGACACAAATTTGACTTCGAAGAAATTCTGTGGGCTGAAATTTGAAGGCCTAATCGAATTTTTAACGACAGGTACGTGAAGGCATTATCCGTGTTTGTGGATGCATAGATTCGATAAATCCTGCCAATTTTAGTTTTAAATGCCATTGCTTTATTTCAAACCTGTTAGTTGACGATTACCATACTGTATTGTCAATTCCGATGGGACATGCAAGCCTGAGAATAATTCTCCAGATGATGCACGCATGAAATACAGTATTGTACAATATTTAATTTAGTTTTCAGTACGCCATCGCAACAGCAAAATTCGTACACAGTACATGACAGCTGTGCTTTGGTGATACGTTAACAATTATTGAATAGCAAAACATTTGTCAGGAAATGCATTTTTCCTTCTAGACATGTTTCTGACCAAGAAAACGCTTAATTTCATAAACTTGATCTTATATGGCCGTTTTAGAATCAGCAGAACTGCAGCAATTTCATATGCCAACACGAAAAAAATTTAAAACTGCATTTTGGAAGTTCAACACTTTATTTTTGCATCACTCGAATTCACACCTCAAATGAAAATGGAGCGCGATCACAGGTTTTTTTTTTTTTTTTCCAACAGAACCTCACTTCTTTTTTCCTGCTTTTCCAACAATTTCCAGTCCCTTCAGATATTTCTTAGGCATCTTCAGATCCTCTGTAATATGAGATACATGGTGAACATTTTCGTAGCAACATTCATGGGATTCCTTTACGTACCTGTAAAAAATTTATTTAGATATTTCCTTTGATCACCCATAACTGTTATTTGTTGGACTCCTTCAAGGCTTTGAGTGACGGGGGCACTGGTAGCAACTCCATGCTGAATGCATTTCGAAATTTGATGCACGTCCAGTCCAAGTTCCGTCAATCCCGAGATAACAGTTACCTGATTTAGAACCGATGAAATTTAGATTTCTACGCAGCACATTTTTTTTCAATTTTAGCTGATAGTCATTATCGGGTCTCAACAAACCTTCTTGTTTCCTGCTCTGGATAGAACATTGAAGGATACAACCGGAACAGCTCCCTTCTTGTAAATCGGATCCTGACCCTGGAAAGTCAACTTGTACGCAGGGGTCATTTTCTGAATCGTCCTCGAAATCATTTCCGCCCACTGCATTTTCATCACGTTATTTTCCCCTTTCTTCAGGACAACAGAAGCCAAAACTGGGTCCAGGGAAATCACTCTACACATAAAAATTCACCACATCAACAAATTCTAAAAATCTTTCTCCACCATAAAATGAATACCTCTGGTCAGGTAATGTGTTGAGCTGATTGTCCTTGATGTATTCTGTAAGTCCGTCACGGATTTCTGAAGTTGAAAGAGCGTCGCCTTTGCTGAAGAAAGTTGACAAGAGGTAAAAAAAAATTGTACACATATCATAGTACAAAAAAGCAAACGAACTTTCTGCCTTTGAGCAAGGGTAAGACTGCAGCAGTAACAGAGTGAAGTTCGACAATGTCCGGTGGATTGTAACGAAGGGCAACCTTTGAGCCATCGCCAGCATTCTCCACCTTCACAGGTACTTTGGTTTCTGATGCATCGAACTGTGAATAAAAATAAACCAATGAAATTTGACGTTCATCGGTAACGCAATTTAAAATGAAGAATATTCTCAAATTTTCACTAAAAAAGGTTTTCCCTTCAGGAGTAATCAACACTGCCATCTACGAAGTGAAAAACCTTGAACTTTTCTTTAAGCCTCAGATAATTCCAGCTTTTTTTTTTAAAGAAGCATGAATTCTGCCAAGAAACACGTTCTTTGACACGGTATTCTAGTTCCGTTCGATCACATTTTCTCAATCCAATAGAAATGATGGAAAAATCTTCCTATTTTAACTTCTCAGTTGCCAAAAAATTTTCTTTGCCCATTGTAGTATACAGTACTTTTCCAGAGCATGGAAAATTTCTTTCAATATTATTGGGAACTCACTTCTTTCGTGAACTACTCAAAAATTTTAAAAATTGAGATAAATGGAGGAAAATTTTTTGCATCTGCCAGGAAGGAAACTGTTGAACACTTTTGAAAAACACCCCCATTAAAAAAGAAGGATCACCTTGAACGATCGCAAGCAATCATGTGCGTAATTAATCCCAACGATGCTTTCCACTCCTTTAGCAGTTTCTTCGATTTTTAAAAGACCAGGAAAATCCGCCACGACTTCTCGCAGAAAAACAGAGACTTTCTTGAATTTCGATTTTTTGACGTCGACGCTGAGAGCATCCGGACACGCAGGCAATACGTGCAAACGGTAAAAATTGCTCGTCAGGCACGGCAGTTCTAGTTTTTTGGCACTGGTTTTTAGAGATTTAAAGAGACAGTAGATTAAAAGCTGCTCTGCTGCCATTTCTACGCCATCTGTTTTCTTCCCGTCATCAATTGTCAAATTGTGACAAGCGTCCTCGATTTCATTGGTTACGTCAGAAACTTCCGCGGGGGATTCATGATCTTCGGAGTTGTCACTGTCATCCACTTCTTCATCTCCTTCCGGAAGTCTATTTCCATCTGATTCGTCAGAAGTTTTTAGATCCGTCAAGGGGGCAAGAATCGGCCTCTGACTTTTTGGTCCCAATTGCCAAAGGTGGTCTCCGACGATGTGCAAAATCGTAACCGCTACATCAGAGAAAGAATAAATTCCCCAATGTCGCAAGATAAATGACAGAAATTCGCACCTTTTCCATGACCAGCACACATGTAGAGGTCGCTTTCGTCAAGCGCGGTTGTTCCAAGAGCAACAAGAGCAGAATTATCCACAGTTGAAATAGAACACGGTTGACCTTTCGTGAAAACGCCGAAGGTCTTTGGCCCGATTCCACTGCAGCCCTTCGGCAACACCAACCCTGGTACCATCAAATCTGCTCCGTTTTGCAAAACCTTGACTACAGGTACCTACAAATAAAAATATCGTGAACACCCACACTTATCGAACTTGATGAGAAAATAATACCTTCGCACAATTTTGAGACAACTTTCGGCTTGGTCTTATACTGTACCATAAAAAATGCACCATCGTAAATATTTAACTTTGCTAATTGGCACAAAAGGGAGAGAATGAGGCAATCATTTTTGCATTAATCACGGAAAATATAATTCGCAAGTATTGAAATTCTCAGCCCTCACTTATTTTCTTTTCTGGGTTGAAATTGAAGATAGTTCACCTACAGAAGCGGAAAAACCCCAAAAAATGCCCCAGCGCATTACGCGATTTAAAATTCATAAGTCATCAAAAATCTGGAGAAAATGAGGTAACAAATAAGCGAGAAATAATAGTAGCAATCGATTCACAAAAGACAGATCTAAATTATCCAAGGGCTTCCCGACCAAAATTCATTCACCACTGTTTACTCACATGAATAGAAAAATGAGGCAACGGGGATAATTTCGGGCATTTCCAGGACGCATACAACGTCGGAATAAATTTATCAGCTCCTTTCTCTTTCCCGAGCGTGAAAAAAATCGGTGTATTCTCAACCGAATAAACATGCACAACTCCCTTAGAATGAGTTTGAAGCTTCAAAAGTAAGACTTCCGCCTTCGGGGGAATCAAATTATCCGCTTCCTCCACGCCCAATTCCGGATATTGTGCGACGAGATCATGCTTGAGCTTTTTCCTGCAGGACAACAGTGATAAATTAATCATCCATGGAGGAATAGAAGAAAGAAGTGAACAATGATTCTTACCGTTCTGAGCTTTTCAACGCAGTGCTGCTCTTCACACGGAATGGCTTTGAAAACATTTTTCGAAATTCCGACGACCCTGTGAACAAGAATAAAATACTCGTATCACATTTGATACATAAAATACTTCCCAATAAAAATGAAGATCGCATAAGAAATATACTTTCAAAATAGAGTCAACACTTTTATTCCAGTCAAACAAATGCCAACATCACAATCACTGAACAAGTTATTTCGACCAATGCATCGCAGAACGAATGACGTCGTATTGCGGAAGTGTCGCCGTAGGGCCAACAGCAGCTACTGTAGGGGCTCGGTCAACAATGTACTTCGAACACGCTTCCCTAACAGTGTTCACGTCGATCGCCTATAATTTGGATTTCATTCAGAAGTTACGCCCGAATCACGAAAATTTGACTGAATTATCACACCAGATGGTGCTTGAAATCTTCACTTTTATTTCCGTCATATCTCACCTGAATTCGAGCGTCCAGCTCATGCGGTGGGATTCGTCTACCATAGCACAACATTTGTCGACCAATGTCCTCACAAATAGGCGTAGATCCATCCAATTGCAGCAACATATTATTACGAAGCAAATTCTTACCGCGTTCCACTTCCAATTCCGTGACACTTGTGCTCAGCCGCTTCCACTCCCGCTGAATCGCGTGTATCATCTCCTATTTAAAAAATTTAGTTCGATAAACAATTTTTTTAAACAATAACTCTGTTTCCCGTACCTCTTGCATCGCGGCATCCGCCACAAAATAGACACCCCATAGTCCAGTATCTTTGTAACACGTGTTGAAAGCTTGGTACGAATGGCACAAATTGTTCTGGGCACAATGCGAAGCCAGTTTTGAGGCCAGGTTTGGGCCTCCTCCGTGAGACCGATCCCAACTACCCAACAGTGTTGATCCAACCATCAAAGGCAAATTATCCGCATCAGTCCACCCACAGCCCTCGACAGCCAGGGCGACATGAACGAACGGCATGTCATCATTGCGGATACGGATGTCCGATCCTATTCGAAATAACATTAGAAAAACAATATGATCCTCAGGAAAACTGGCTATTTGAAGATGAATTAGCAACACGAAACACCTTTGCCATCAAAACATGACGCGTGCGAATAAATCAAGCCGAGTAATTTTTATCTGTTCGAGCGTCGGAATCACAATGCAGTATAATTTTCCGCGAAGCTATTCATCTACAGAACTAACTTTGATTTGAGAGGAATAATATTGTCAACATTTCAATTGAAGAGAGCTAAATTTGGAAGACGTTCAATGTTGCCAACATTTCGAAAAAAATTCGGAAAGATGACAATGACTTGTTCAACATGAAACTCCACTATAAAAATCTCCACGACATGGACGGTTGGAGAAAAAATTTCTAACCAAGTCAAACACATGGCGAAATTCACCTGTATATCGACAAACATCCAGTTTTGGTCCACCAGCACCATCAGAAACAATGGATCCCAGATGCTCTCGTGCAATCTTCGCCAAATATTCGTGATCAACACCTCCGGCAGCAGCAAGAACCATTCGTGGTCCTTTGTAATGACTGCTCACGTATTCCATCAAATCTTGGCGCGAAATGGACTTGATATTTTTCGTTGGTCCAAGGATTGTGCGCCCCAAGGGAGTGCTTTGGAAAGCGACGGCATGCAAATGGTCAAAGACTACCTCTTGCAAATTTGTCTCCACTTCTTGCATTTCGCGGAGAATGACGCCACGTTCTCGTTCAATCTCGGCTTCGCCGAAACGAGAGTTCTGCACGATATCCGCCAAAATATCGACGGCCTTGCGGATGTCTTTCGAAAGACATTTAGCGTAGAAAACGGTTTGTTCGCGAGATGTGTAAGCGTTCAAGTGTGCGCCCATGTTTTCTACCTCCAGCTCAAGCTCAGTTTGGGTTCTTCTTTTTGTTCCCTGTCAGGAATAAGAAACGTCGAATTTCATGCAAGGGTTTTAGCCTCTAGTTCATGACAGTAAATCGGCATTTTGACTCGACTGAAACCGTACCTTGAACGCCATGTGTTCCAAAAAATGAGCAACGCCGTTGTTCTGATCGTTTTCGAATCGAGATCCGGTGTCAATCCACAATCCCACAGTGGCAGTAGGAATCCCAGAATCTTCTGTTGCAATTCTAACTCCATTTTCCAAAATCGATATTTCGGTGGGCGGTACGTTTAAATTCAGCTGTGATGTAACGCCTCGTGCGTGAAAGCGCTTGTAGCTCTAACGAGATAAAATAAGCATTTCTAGAACAACACACACATACAAACATTTCATTTCGGATTCTCGTTTTTTTTTGTTTTTGTTTTTATCAGTACCACTCACCTCCGAAACTGATTTCAGTCGCAGTGAGTTCGACGCCGCTGACGAAGCAACGCGAATAAATTTCGAAGTCATCACTTTCGCCGCGTTCTGAAACTGAATAATGATCCCTTGATACTTCTTGCCACATTCGCAAACATTGCGAAGATATTTAATGGAAAACATATGTTATGTTCATTTTTCAGGGACACATAATTAAAACACGAATGCAGTATTAGGAATTGAAAGATCACTGTTGGGTAGACCAAATTCTGGCCGAATTCGGTGCTGACGCAGCAGACGTCGCCTTTTCTAAATCCAGAACAGGTTTGAAATGTCGATAAAATGAACGAGTGTATTCCATCATCAAGTCCTCCATGGATTCTGGCGCTTCTCCAATTTGTCTCCCGGGATTTCCCGAATAAATTGCAAACGCAGGAACGACTGATTGCGGGGGGATGACTGTTCCATCTTCAATGATGCAGCAATCTTTTAAAACACTCTTTTCACCCTGGAAATGTACATACTTGTTAGATCTTGGAAGAAGGGTTCGCTACAGATTAAAAGCGTAAAAATTGTTAGCTGGGCGTAGAGCCAAATAATTTTGATAAGACATTTTCTAAATCTTATTACTTTCTCCGAAGGACGCACGTTTTACAGGCTTCTGCAGAATGCAGACCAAGTGCTACAAAATATTTCACGAATCGTAATCGAGATACTATATCTACGTAGCGAAAACGTCCCTAATATGGACAACCAATGTTTAAAAAAGTAGCATCTTGACAATCTTTGACTTCAAGTTGGTGATGATGCTGACTGTGAAGATGGTCACAAAATGTCAACTCATCAGAAAGAAATAGCTAAGTCAGAGCTTCTTATCAAGATCATTCATAAATATTGGAATTATCAACCGAATTTTTTTAGATGAATATTACAAGAACAAATTTAGGAAAACTCACGATAACACAGTCCCGTCCGATGTGGACGCAAGTTCCGATCGTACCAGCGCATATCACAGAATCCGCACCAATGAAAACATGGTCTCCAATATGAAGAGGAAAATAAGCCCCACTAAAAAAAATCAATAGTACTCTTGAAGAAAGAAAAAACTCATGAAAACACAACAGCAATTTACTTCTTCGCAAATTTCTTGAAGGGTGGATGGAGTATCGTTTTCTGAGAGATAACGCAATGGCGACCGGTTCTGATTCCAGCTAAATCTCCTCTCACAACGCAGTCTTCCATCACAATATTTTTCCCATTCAAAATGATGTTCTGCGCTCCTGACAGTACCGACTGCTTACAAACTTTGTTTCCAGAGGCCTACATAATCAACAAAACATTTCTTTTGAAAGACATTGAGGAACCCATGGAAAAAAGTCACGACTCACAGTTTCGACATATATCGGCTTGTAGTAGTAGATGTCTGGAAGTTCCATCGCTGCGTACTTTCACAACTATTTCCCTGAAGAAAAATAATAATATACGCTCAAAATCGAATTCCTCGAATTGTCAATAAAAATTGACGTGGGAAACCCGCGGATTATTGCACAGCACCAATATTCATATCTCACTTCGTACAGCTAGGCTGCAGAAAACGGAACAAATGTGACATTTCGCCAAAAATCAAAGAATGCAATTCATCTTGTGCAGCAAGATCACGTCAACCTTCGTGCTTCAATATTGACAGTTCGAAACAAGAGTATCCCTATCAAGAAAAAAAACCACAGCCTCGTAGTGCAAAATAAAGCATATAATCAACAGGATTTCCGGCTCATAGATTCCAATGATTTTATAAGGCCATATTTGCCATCATAACGTTCAATTGCTGTTTCGGGGGACAATTGATGATGCGACACTCTTCTTCGCTGTATAGTTCCTTTGTCAATGTGTCGAAGCTATGAAAGGCATTCAATATCCCCAACTGGAAAAGGAACCACAAAATGCATTTCAAGCAAAAAATTTAATAAAAATAATAAGAGGCAATATTTACTTTTACGGGCCGAAATAGTATAAATTCTGTATCCGCATTAGCCAAATAGAGCCTCAATTGGCTCAGATACGTTGGCAGAATGGACTTCAGATTCCGCACGGCAGCAGTGCAGACCATTCCCACAGTACCATGATCAACAACATTTTTTGTTTCCTTGTAGTCATCAACAAATGCATTCAACGGCTTCGTGACAGTCGACACAGTGTGAAAAATCAAATCGGCACAAGAGCATTTCAACTGCATGTCAATATCTTTCTTTGAATCCAACACGAGCTCGATGACATCTGGGACACCTTCCAAAAGCAGTTCTAAGATTGCACTTGGAGCTCCAAACCTTAGCAGGTGTCGCTTCGTGAGCAACCTTTTAGCTGCTTAATATACGAAAACAATTTTAGCCGACATTATCTCGACTTGAAAAATTTTGTCTATTGGAGCTAACCTGCATCTTTCATTTTTGAAAAGTCCATTGCCATCTCTTTAATTATGAATTCAGAATTGAATGGATGGATTTGCTCCCGTAGAATCAACAGATGCTTTATAAGGAACAAGTCAGCATCCATGTAGGAATGCTGCGAAGAGAAAATGATTTCGATTTAACAGTACTGTACTTCCAAAAAATTTAAGAAATGAAAGTAAATACAGCAGCGTTAAGCTTAGGAATCCTTTCAGCCGCATTCACGAGAGCTGCAACACAAGCAGAAAGGGCTTCTTGACTCAATCCTTGAAAGCTGGTTTTGTCCAACGAACGATGCAATTTCGACAAGCATACCAAAGTTCTCTTGACAACCGGGTACCACATTCCCATTAGGTCAGCAGGCGATGCTGCAAGGTTGTTTCAAAATTTGTTGATAAAAAAATTAGCAAAAATATATTTCCCTGTCCAACCTCCTGTGTGAGATCGCAGGTTCTTGGTGTCCATCGAGAAAACAGATTTGACTGTCGATGACCGACTTGAATTGCCGTCTGCGACACAAGTTCTCGCTATTTCCTGCGCGAAAATGCAGTAATTAGCATTCATTTATTTGTGGAATCAAGAATTTCTAAACAATCATCTCTCTGATCCAGAATTAAAATGTTCTAGAAAATGTAAATACTTTTGAAATATACCTCCATCATTTTCAGCTTTTCGGGATAGGCAAGATCCCCAGCACTAGGAGAGAAACCCGTGATATCTCTTTTAATGAAGACATGCGTCGCATAAACCAGCCTTTCTCGGACATCCTCCAAAATCTGCGTCAACATTTCGTTGAACGGTTCCATCCATTCTTTGTTCGTATCTTTGAAACAAAAAATACGAACTTTCAACAGAGAGTCGTAATTCAAGAATGAAACATCCACAGCTTCCAATAAATTACTTTCTTCATAAAAATTTAAAATCGCAACAGTCGCTCACCATTTGAACGAACATCCATCAACTCCGCTTTTCCGACCACGCACAACTCCGTAAGAGTTTCCAGGTGAACAACATGCACGAAAATTGGACGAAAGCAATCATAGACAACGCCGCTCAGCTCCGCCAAGAATTGACTGAAAAACATGGAACATATGCCACATCGTCGAATGCATTCGAAATAGGTTTAGTGAAAAAATAATGCTCACCTAAGCGCACCAGTGTTTTGTGAACTAAAAAAGTGTCCGAAGAGTTCAGCTTCGTCATGACAAACAGCTTTCAGAGCATGGCTTCCACTCCTCAGCATGGAACACTTATCCCTGGGGAAATGAATATTCAATTCATAAATCATGCTTTCACTGCGATAAAAGCTGTTATCAGGAACTCACAAAGCACATTCTTCGACGATCTCTTTCATTTGTGATTGAAAAACAGGAACGATCAGCTGCTTCCGCTTGGAGAAATAGAATCCATGTATGTCAGACAAAATGCCTCTGAAAAAATAAGCGTACGGAATTTTCAAAGATTTCAAGAGCTCTCACAGAATTTCTCCGCCTTGAATACGAACTTCACGCTCTTAATCCGGCTTAAAAGTCGATCCCCTCCGTTTTATGGCTAATCTCGACAGAGAAAAGAAGGCATAGACCATGGGGGAAAATTTTTCAAAAGAGAAGAGCTTAAAATTTTCGAATCCAATTTTCCTTTGAATGATAATCTTCGGTTGAATGTTCATACCCAAACCCCCCCCCCAACATTAATCCTCAACGAAAGTCGATAGCAACGTATAGAGCATTAAACCATGGGCGAGTAATTTTCGGTGAACGGTATGGACACACATGTAAAAATGATACGTGAAAATACTAACTCAGCAAGAGCAAAAGATTTCACGCGACATTCGATTTCTGCAACACATCTTTTCAGTGTGGCTGAATTCGCACTGAACCTCGCGTACAAATAAGGATAGGCTTGATCCACATTCAAAGCTCGTATTTGCTCTTTCTTTTGCGGCGCGCCTCCGCCCAAAAAGCTCCCTCCAGTTGTCACCCAGGGATAAATTTCCTCAAATGCGTTCACCAGGCTAGCCGACACGAAACCCCGGACCATCACCAGACCTCTATACAAAGCAGCATCGCATTTCGACAAATATTCAGAACTATCCTTGTACGATGCCTGTAAATTACAAAAGCATGCACATTTTCACTACCACAAGAATCTGAAGTTTCACAAATCCATTTCTCATTTGAAAGCACACCCGAAAAAGTAAAGTAACTTACATGCTCTCTAAAGAATTCAGTAGCAGCGTCAAGCTTCGCAAGTGTTGAAATGAAATCTGAAGACTGTATTGACCCGAACGAGTCGAAAACTGGAAGGTTCTCAACGATTTCAAAATACTTCAGTTCTTCATTGATTTTTTCAGCTTTGCCACTCATTGCTTCCTACATTTAAAAAAATCCATCAAGAAGACAGGAACGTAATTTATAAACGTCCTTAACTCACTTGCTCTTCAAGAAGTTTCTCACATGCAGCATGCAGCAAATTCGTCTCTTTACAAACAGTCTCCTGAGCAACAAGAAGTTTCTGAAGATCATCTATAACGCCCTCCACCTGACAATAATTAAAACACAATAAATAGCGAGAATGTTCTCAATCTCATTAAAATTCAACCAATCCCTCTAGTTGTGTTCCACAAATCAACACGCATCGATAAATCCATAATCGAATTTTACTCACAGTTCGCTGAGCCTCGACGCAAGTCAACCCTGTCCGCCTCAAATTCGCCAGATATTTCGCGTACGAAGATACTTCGTCCAGAATCATATCTTTTTCAAGACTATCGTACCACGTGAGAAACTGGTGAGCAGTGGCGATGCAGAAATCATCTTCTTCTAATGCAGCGAAACTGTCAGATCTAACTCGGTCATCTTCAGCAATGTATTCATCCTCAGAATCGCTGTAAAATTCTCCCGATGACAAACAGCGGCGACGGTCTGAAGAAACTTCTTCCATCACTAAAAACTTTCTCTGCAGCGAAATCCAATAAATTCCGAAGGCAACCATGAATAACCGATTCTACGTTGAAATATAGTACCTTACTCACGGGCAACGGTCTTTCATATGCCAAGGCTCCGAATTCGGAAATAACGTCTCTTTGTTGGTCAGTCAAAGGAGCAATGCTTTCTGCAGGATCATCCCACTTCAATACCAGATCGTACCAAAATCCTACCCCTCCCTTCATTTTTTAGCGACACTCAAATATCAGACGATACTTCTTCTGTAACAAAAGCTACGATTCAATGAACTCAATGATTCCGGATTTTGAACGTAGATACAGACTTGAAACATGAAAATAAAAGACGAGAATTCCATGCAATTTTTCTAGTTACGAACACCGCGGAAGTTCATTTTTCAAAATGGATCACAGATGAAATGGACGATAATCGCTTGCGCCGTTCCTGGAAAACTTCTCCCACAGAAATGAAAAGCTTATTCAGCGCATCCAATAAAAAAAAAAAATTTGCGATGGTCGCTTCAATCGAAAAATAGATATTATGATAGCTTAAAATCGACGTACAAATATTATTTCGATCATTTATCGACATCTATTGCGTCCGACTTGGATTAAGGAGTTTCCGGGAATAAAAAAAAACGAGGAAAATACAGATGATTCAAACGTTACGGCATCTATAAAAATACGAATATTCAGTTAGTGTAGAAGTAAAATTAGACAACGTGAAAGAAGGGAAAATATTTATAAAACCAATATATTCGGTTCTTGGGGAATAGAATGACAAACTTTATGCACTCCAGCGTGATTTATTCAACATCGAGAGACAAGAATATTTTTCTCAGGATGTTGCAAATTGCACTTGCCCAGTTGATGCAAGAAGTTTTCTCGCTTCTTTTAAATAGCCTTGACTTTCTCGCAACCTTATTCATTCAAAACCAACCGAAATATCAACGTTTCAAAGGTCACAGCAGCGCATGAATCATCTTATAAGTGCCTGATTTGGTACATGCCAGAAAATCATTCAGCTCGACCTCAAAAAGCGAATTATCAGGGAAGGTATAAGCGGAACAAAAAATTTGCATCCGCATCGCAATTCGTCACTGGACACTTCGGCGTGACTCTCAAATACTCATTGATACAATCGAAACAAAAAATGAAACCAGATGAGGTCAACAACGTAGGCGTCTCCCACATTTTCAAACACAACGGACATTTCTGGTCGTAAGTATTTCCCAAATGCCGCCTCAATGCGTCATGAGGCGGCTTCGGAATCCGCTTCAACTCAGTGGACCAATCCTTCCTTCCATCGCGGGCATTTGAATACCACCAGTCTATAAACTGCAAGAACAAAGCAGACAACTCCAACATCGTGCCAAGTGCAGTGAAAAACACGTCGAATCGATTTCTTGCTTTTGTCTCGGTTGGTGTGGCGGTAACAAGTTTGACTCCCATGAGCTTTAGCAACCACGAGTGCGTCGCTTCCTTCCCAATCATGAACAAGAGGTAGCCCAAAATACGACTCAGCTCCGTGAAGGCTTTCAAATACGGAACACTTTTCGCACATATTTTCCTGAGTCCCCAGTTTTCCAACAATATCCCATCTTCCATCACCGTCTTCCACTCCTCACACTTGCTTAGAACTTTCAATTCAACATAAGGCACCAATGAGCAAGAAGCCACAGACAATACGGCCAATCGTCTGTTCAGATTGATTGGCTCGCCATTTTCAGCCTTTACACGTTGTAGGCCGTAAACTGCTTCAGAAAAAGAAGCAGACGAGCGGATGTGGAAATATGTTTCGAAGAAAGCCGAGACAAAACACCAAGCTCCTTGTTTACATGATGCAAACTTGGCAGCACAAACGCTCGAAGGCAAAACATCACTTAAATAATCGGCAAGTCGATAAAACGCGGGAGCAAATGCGCGATCAAGGCTATCCTTGCCAAACAAGGACAACACACTCGGTGAGTTACCCTTTGCCTCACCGTATTTCATAAAACTTCCAGATTCCATCGTCTATCTGGAAAAAATGAACAATTTGTGACGTGAAAAATGTTCAAAGAAACATAGGAATATTGAATACTCGAAAAGACATCCCCGGGAAATTAATCCAAGACTTAAGAAAATGCATGACATCGGGAAACTTCTATTATGTTCCATAAGTTTTGTCAGTGACTCGAAAGATGCAATTTCAACTCTGCGATCTCTTTCTTTTAACATGAACGGGAGAAAATTAGTGCAGCATTAAAAATATTGAGAATTCCTGAAAAAGCTTTCTATACTCGACGATAAAAACTGTAATACAGACAAGACTTACAAATAAGCCACTGTTAAAAATGCAACTTCAACCTTGAATATTCGTCCCGGGAAAATCCTGTATTGGAAAGAACAATATTCGGAATAAAAAACGATCATTTTGACAAACCCGTGAAAAATGGTCTGTTTTCCAATACTTTTGAACACTTCCCGAAAAATTGCGAACGCTTCAGAAGAGAGGAGATGGCAACGAAGATACGCTTTCTCCCACAACAACGATCACATTTCCTCTAATTTCCAAACGTGAGCTCCTGCTACCTGAAGTTCAACTAATACACTATTCTCACTCATCCCAGCTCTTCATTCAAAGAGGAACACGGAGCGCGTGAATAATCGACACACAAGAGGAACCACCTCAATGTTGTAGAAACGATCTATCGATCGAACAGAAAAATTATTGTGCTGAACATGCGCAATGGGGTGCCACATACGCAGTAGAATTCATAAGTTCTATCACTTCCACAACCAAGACGTCGGAGGACCGCGTACGTAACTCCAATCTCGAAAACTCGGGTTTCATAAAATATCCGTGAGGAACTACGAACGTTAAATACCCCGCTCATAAAATCTCAAAAATTCTAGAACAATCAATGGGTGTTGTACAATAAAAAATGGACTAATATCGTGCACCTATCAACAAACATCCTATCAGGGAATCCTAGACATGAAGAAAAGCTATTTTTTGAAGAGAAATGTCCATTCGTTACGAAAAAGACAACAAGCGAAAGACCTCGTCAGGTGGTGCACAATCTCCCGGAACCACTTCTTACCTTTGAGCACAAATGGAACTTCTGACCTTCGCAACGATTCAAATAGCTCATCTTTCACTTCAACCAGCAGAAAAACAAGCCTTTTCCTCGACTCATTTCAGAAATTTGACTTGAAAAAAAAGGGCTCACTTTCTCCACCAAGAAACAGGGACGGAGATCGAAAGAAATTGTCGCTTGTTTTCCGGTAGACAGAAAAACTGATTTGTGAAACACACATCAAGAAAAAAATTTAAAGATGAAAAATAATTGGCAACGCGCCCAGATTCAGGAATACGTTGTCACAAAGCCTAACAAAATCAAGGACAAATGCGCAGCTGACGCGAGGTAACTCTTCCAAAAATGGCAAGAGGAAAAAGGTATATTTCTGCTTCGCCACGAAAAATTCTACAGGGCCTATTGGCACATGAACTCTTTAATCATCGAAATAATAAGTTTTCAAAAAAACAAATTTTCAGCACTTCTGTACCCAGAAATGTATCGGAGCTGATGTGGAAAAAAAAAGAGAAAAAAGAGGGAATTTACAGCTTTCTGTGAAAAACAACAGCTTTTCGTGAATTTGTGGCTATGAGACAAGAAAAACACATTAAAATCGATCATGCCCACACAACAACCCTCCAATAATTAATACTCTCATTCCCTTAAAAAAAAAAAAACTCCACCTCCCTCTTCGTACAAAACCCCACTTCCAATACGAATTCGAATCTCAGCACCGATGTGTCTAAAAAAATGTGAGCGTTGAAAAACGTACAAAAGACTAGAACTACTTAACCAGTGCTTTTTGAGACTCCGGGGATGAATTAATTCCAGAAGCGGCTGTTTCCTCCTCACCAAGACATTTGAGGTGATTCAACTACACATAATTTCAACCAAGAAAATGCGACGATTGCAGATAAAAATTATAGAATTATCTCACAACATTGCATTTCCAAAAAGATAAACTAGATACAACAGCTTAACGACAGAGAATACATGTTCAGAAAACTTTACAGAACGCTTTTCCTTGAACACGAAGTGTGTGCCCGAAATTTTTGGTTTCTGCGAATACTGAAACTGTCGATTGCTTCAGGCGGACTAGATCAATCCTTTGTAATCATGTAAACGAAGAAGTTCTATACGGGACCGGTTTGAAATGGCATAAAATGTTTCAGAGTTAAATTAACAACCGATGATCGAATTAGCACATCCCCGAACCTTCAAAATTGCAGAACCTTTTGGTCGTACAAGTATCATCCTCAAATCTTCGTTGACGGCTCAGAGAAGAGCATCGCTGCTGGAGACAAAGGTCTTCGCAAGGGTGATGGAGGAATAATTACCGATGGCGAGCCTTCAAACCGAGTCGACGCAGACGTGTCCAATTCATGTCCTTGAGAGGACCGCGGTGGCGGTAATTGCGGGCGCAGAGAATACTCATGCCGACCAAAGTTCTTCAGCTCATCGCCTCTTTCCACTCCAGATTTCGAGCCCTGATTTTAGGAATCAAATGCGTAGAAAATGAATGAATCGATATATATACAGTATATATATATATTTAATAGCAGTTTTAAAACGTAGCTCATCAGTCTAATTTTACAAAATTGTGAAAATATATTCAATTCTCAATTTCAGCGAAGTCTTCTGCTTTCATACTGTACTGAAAGCATGATTTCAGTGCGACGTCAATTTTTCAGAAACAATGACTGCACATGGGGTTGGACGAAAGTTCGTCGCCGCATTTTTGCAAGTTACAGCGAATATGTCGAAGCTGAGGTTAAATCGTTGATCCAGGGGCAAACGAAATTTTGAAGAAAAAGCCAGTCATGTTTACTGAAAGGATATTGCACATGAATATTGCACTTCTTCCTCGTAGTATCCAAGTTACACAAACATTTCGCTTCTCAAGAATTAATACTGTATGTGCAGAAAATCTGAAATAATGTTTGGCCTACTTTTAAACTGATCATGAGAATTCTGAAGTTCAGATTCGCATCGACAAGCAAATGAAGCTTTTGAAATAAATGATCCTCGTGAAAAGATCCAGAACTTACCCGTCGTCGAGGAGAATCTTGCACAGTCTTTTTCGCTGGTTTCGCAGACGCACTCCGCTGCGGTGCATTACGTGAACCATCCAAACTCATTTCAAAAGCAGGCCTCATGGGTGACCCTGGAAATCCTGGTAGAATTTTCAATTCAATGATAAATGCAAAGGATAAAAGCGGAGTTATTCTGTCCTCTTTACTTGATCAAACTTTTTTTCTAAAATATGTTTCTTTGCCGGAGCTCCAGTCGAATAAAAATTCTGCCACTGAGCCTCTCAGATATATCCTGCGTATTATACACATCTTGGGCTACAACATAAGAAAAATTTCGACAGTAACTTTCACACAGTACGTAGAAATATCGACATACGTTCCTGCCAATTCTTCGTAGACCTTACTTCCGTAATGTGTCAAAGTTCGAATAAACTTTCCCTCGACTACTTTTCTCAAAAATCCGCGGAGCCCGAGCGAACATTACGATACGTTTTGAATGAGCATATGATATACATTATACAGTACGAAACAAAGCTAGCGAAAGACAACGAACCTACACTGCCATTGTATTATAGAAAAAAAAGTGAACCTCGGATCGGCGGTGGTTGATAAAGAGCAGTTCTCTTCAAACTGCCCCGAGGTGAAGGACCAACTGGCTCCGACGATGCCCGACTCTTTCTAGATTCCGTCTTCATGGACCCGCCTCTTGTCAATGTTCCAATCGACGGGGTAACATGATCCCCTGTGCTGTGATGATGCAACCCCATTCCGTGAGACATAGCACGTGTCGCGTGCTGATAAAAATACTGTCTATTCGTCGCACTCATGGGGCGTTCTGGTTCTGCATGAAGTCCTGTTGTCGATCCCGTTAAGCTTCGTGGCTGATTCTAAAAAAGTGTACCGCAGCAGAATAAATAAGTTGAAAGAATTCGCCGAAAATAAACTTTAACGCAAATGATGGCAAAAAATCGTAAATTAGGAATGTGTAACGTATTTACTTGAGTACCACACGTCCTTGAGTAAGACGCATACCCAGCTTTTTCAGCCTAAAATTGTGACAAAATCCTATCCTTAGTGAGACTCACCCCCTATTTTTTGCGATTGAAAAACTTGGCTATATTTTGAAAATAAGACGAACAGAATTTGAATTTAAACACTAATCAATCCTAAATTTAATTACCGTCATTTTCAATTTATTTCATGAAAAAAATTTTTTGTGTCTACATTGATCTGAAGTTTACGCACCTAAATCTCTAAAATGTCTTGAAAATTATACAAAAATCGTACCTGGTAATCCGAATTCCGCAAAGATTCCTGCCACAATTTTTCTGCTGAACCATCTCGATAGTGATCATCCCCGGACAGGTAACGTCCAGATCGACGATGAATTTTATCTGAGCTGGCACTGGGCGACCCAGAAAGCGATATGGACGCCCGCCTCGGCAACGGCGGCGGCACGGATCCGTCTTCTGAACGCATTTTCCGACCCGTTTCACAAAGAGGCGGCGCTTTCGGACGGCGTTCAGAACTTCGACGAGTCGGAACTGTTGTTCTTTCAGCCGGCACTGGGCGTTTCGTGCGTGGCAATGGCTTTGGTCGAGCCGCGTTCTGAAAGATAAATGCAATGCATCGACTGCTTGAAAAACAACGTAAGTCATACGAAACTAAATGTTTTCAATTTGAATTTTATTAATTCGGTCTGAAAAGGAATACTGTGCAATTACACTCACGTCGTTCTCCTTGTCTTCTGCTGCACGACGACGACCGATTTCCGTATGATTTTTCTTGCTCTCCGCCGCCACTCGTGCGCTTTTCGGCGGCAGTGGCGGCGGCGGAGGAGGAGGCGGCTCACTCGACGTTCTTCCAGTTCTCTTGACAGCACTGCTTTCTCCAGACGTCTCTTGGATCACCACGACAGCTTTCTCAGGCAACCCAATCACAGTAGCGCGACGCGTCAGAACGGACTGTTGTTTAGCTCGCAACGGGTTCGGTTCGACATAGCCATTGACCGCCACGTTCTCTGCGACTGTGTTTTCGTCACTGGTTGTTTGTTCATCTTCGTAAACTTCCGGGGATGCCCGTGGCGGCGGGGCCGACGGTGACGTAACCGGATGCGTGTTTTCTTTCGAAGTGTCGCCTTTACGAGCTACTGAGGCGTTTGAACTTGTCCGCGCTGCTTTAGGAGCAGCTTGTGGACTGCAAAACAAATTAAATTCAAAAAAGCCAGGAAATTGTAGGCAATTCCACTTTAATTGCGGTCGCTACTGGAGAGACAAATTTACTAGTTGAAATATACTGGAGACAAATTTACCCCAGGTTTTCAGACTAAAAAAACTTCTCCTATATGACCAAAATTTCCTTCTCCTATATGACCAACTTTTCCGGATCTCGAGAGATTATCGAGACACGACCACTCTTTGCGTTGCTATTCGCAAAATGTCTTGCTACTGATATTCATGCAGGAACGTGAATAAGAAGACGAAGAAATTCTGGCATGTGTAGCATTATTTTGTAAACGGAGCTTCTCCGAAGTTGCTTTGGGGATCACAAAGGAATGGTAGGTCGGTTCACTTTAGGTGCGATTTTCAATGCTCAAAAAAGTTATTCACCATGCCTTTCAACAACAGATAAATGCCCAAGATTATCACGATCAACCCTTGATCCACATCCGTAGGGAATTAAAGAATTCGTGAGAATTCATTGCCCGCGACCTTGAAAATTATTACTGAGAATACTGCTGTAATTCAACTAATTTCAAAATCATGAATAAAGACTATGTATATTGAGATGGGGTTCGAACCCATCTGAAGATTGGTAAACGACTTATTGAACCGCGGAAAAAGATGTACTTTATAGGATGGATGACGTTCAACTCCAGCAACTGAAAATTTATCAACTCACGTAGCTCGATCCGGAATCGCACCGACACTGGACACCTCGTCTTTTCTGACTCTTCTTCTGGGCTCAGTTCGATAATTGCACCGATTTGTCAAGAACTGAGCTCCGTACGAAACATCAAGATTGAAAGATCCTGGAGGGGGAGGCGGAGATCGGTGCTGCCACGGGCCGACGCCATTCGACGACGTTATCGACAGTTGTGAATGGCGAGGCGCCTTTCGCAAAGTAAGCACTACTTCCAGCATTCCACCAGTAGACGGCATGCCTACTTCAAGTATTTCACGAACCTTCGCATTTTGCCAACCAACAATTGTTTGGTAGTTGACCTGCAAAAATTCATGATTCTTGGCGATAAGAGCTATTCGATAGACAGAGCAAGTTAAGTACAGTATTTCTTTAAAAATCAGACCAAATTATTGTGTCACTTCTACAACTATCTTCAATGCTCCGAATAAGGATATTTTCCCGAAGCCCATCCTATAATTTCCATGATGAGTTTTATCTAAATTTTTCCATCGCTCTTATACTCCCACAATTGAGAAATAAATTGTATTGCAACTGACCAGCAGTAGTTTCAGCTTTCCAGATCACACGAAAAATTGAAATCAACTCTCGAGTGTAATTAATAATTTGTATTTCTCGGGTCATAAAAATTCCAATACAGTAATAGTGATATTTTCGGAGAAACAGGGTACCAACGAATTTTCTTGGATAATTCACCTGTAAGATTTCGCTGCCCTCTTCTAGCAGACGACAGCAAAATGCAGGGGAATGCTGACGAATTTCTCCCACGCAATGACGGCCAGCGTGAGAAGAATGGATCACAATGCCCTGAAACAAAAAAAAAAATAATTAAGAGCAGAAAATAACCAATGAACTACAAAAAATACCGTTAGTCGAACATTAAAAAAAAAAATTATTACTTTTTTCTAGAATAACTCACCAACTTGGAATGTGGATCGTGAGGAGTTCGCTTTCGAATGGTCGCGACTTCCACCATTGCTGGCTGAATCAACAAGGACTCACGAGAGTTCTGCACAATATCTTCGCAAGTATTGAACAACTGCGAACACAGCTTGCAAATAAATCGTTCCGGCTCCTCCGCGAAAGAATCTCTTTGCCCTGTCGTCGCCAGCTCAGTGCCAATTATTAGGAAACCCGGTTTGATTTTGTCTCTCAAAACCGGCAGTTCGTTGAATGGAGGATTGTCCAACCAAGACAAAACACTTTTCAGACAGGTGAGGATGTCATCAACAGCCGCGATGGTAGCTGTCGCAATTTTGTCACCCTTCAGTTGAGAAAATAAAAAGGTTATTACCGAACGAAGACTAAATTCAAAAAATTTCTCACAGCTCGAGGACCGGACGCAGTTTGAAAACTTAGTCGAAGTTCGAGTTCCCGCGCAAGTGACCTAGCTTTCGTCCCCAGTTCGAGAAACAGCATCTGTAATGTTTCCCGGCCGGCAGAAAAGTTAGTGCGACGCAAAACGTCGATGGCGGCGAGAATGGTTTCTTGGTGGCCGATCTTCCAGATCCCAAGGGACTCGAAGTCGCTCGGATCCAACATGAACAGCCGCTTGCCATTGATGCCCTTCTCTATTAGTACACTGGCGTAATGGCTTACTGGGTCCTCCAAGCCTTCAAGAAGTAATAATTGGACCATTTCATGAATTCGTTTTTCTCCAAGAACATGAAAAACTCACCTTTCACCCATGCTCCGACTTCCAAAGGTGTCCATTTCTCGACGAGAAGCATAGCCATGGAAACTCATCACAGCATGTTTGATGGAAGAGAATTCCGAAGTTGAAAAAAGCACTTCTTTACCAAAATATAAACTATTGCCCATGTAAGCTACACCTGTGTAACAACCAATGCTCAGTTGAAATCCTTCCAGAAAGTAAAATATCGAGAGAAAATTGTTCCGCGACTGGATTTGTAATTATCATACACAAAAAGCATCCACACCATCCGATATTGCGTCAGAAAAAGCACAACCGTTCGCTGCACCAAGCAACTCTCTTATCACCGCACATTGCACGAAAATGTTGGTATGCACCTGACAATTTCGATTTGATACTTCAACACAAGTGAAGCGCACAAGCAAAAAAAAAAAGACTCAGGCCATTCATAAAAAAATATAAACTGATAAAACTCAAAAAGATGCTAGATATACGAGTAAAAACGAGAACATTTTTAGAACATGTAGCTCTGAAATTTTCTTGAACGTTCGTCCCTCGTCCATGTAATGTTCACCTCATTTTTCACTGCAAATTCATCAGCTTCTTCTTTAGCAGGTTCTATCATCCCTTTCTGTAGTTTAGCTGGAGCCCAATGCATGCCCTGGAAAATTGAACATTGATTCAAAAATATTCACGAATGACGCACTTGGTAGCTTACCGAATGTGTTTTTCTTTTCATGGCGTACCATTCCTTAAATGGTATGGCTAATCCGGAAGATTTCCATTTGTCATAATTATCACGTCTTTCCGGATCACTCAAGACGTCTTTCGCTTCTTGCAACTTTTGGAATTTCTCCTTAGCCGCTTTGCCGGCATTTTTGTCTGGATGCAGTTCCCTTGCTCTTATTTTGTACTCCGCCAAAATTTGCTCCAACTGGAACACGAGCTTCATATAAAAAAAAAAAAGGCACTTGGAAAAATCAACTTGACTCACCGAGCTATCCGGGGCACATCCCAAAACATCATAGAAATCTTCCAGATCTTTCACATCAAAATTCAAAATTGCGTCCATAATGAACAAAATGAATCTGCAAATAAAACAGAATAGAAACGACATTAAAAATTGCGCGACTTGAGCAGTAAGAAAAATAACACTATTTTTAAATCAAACACATGCAAAAATCCCTCAGAAGACAGACTTCATTTCCACGCGATGAAACAAAATCCGTTCATCTCTTTTTCCAGCTTTAAAAGGGCACGAAGAAGCTTTTCTCTCAAACGGCTTCCTGAATCGGGGGTTCGTAGTTGTCGGGTCTGTCGACCACAACACCGCCTTCTCCAGCTGCACCAGCTTCTCCGGCCGCTTTCAACCCACCATCTCCGTGCAAATCCAACAGCTTGCTAAGGTCGAATCTCGGCTTCCTAATGCACTTGACCTGGGGGACATTTGGAAAATTTTTCATCAGATATCCGCCCTTTTCCCATACCATTCGATCGGAGAAAATAAAATTGTCACTTAGACTCTTAGAGGAATCAGGAGAAAGTATACAATACTACAGTAGAACTCCGACACGAGCAGAAGCATCCATTTACTGTGTATTCAGAGAAAATAACTTTCAGCCGCTTCAATTCCAATCGTCGAAGACTCAAAGTGCTCAAGGAAATGCATTTCGTGATACACGGGAATTTTGAAAATATTCAAGTCAAGCTTTGTATAATTTGTTTTCATCTGTTACAAGTACAGTAATTCTCAATTTAATATTTTAATTCAACATTTTTATTTCATCCGTGACAAGTTTGAGGATCCAGAGCGAACAGCATTAGCCCGAATAATCTTTATACTGTAGTTCATTATGTGAAAAACCATCCCAAAAAAAGTTACCTTGCGAATGTAGACGTCGTGCAGAGGGTAAATCCCATAACAAGCCTTCTCGATGTCCTTGGCAATGGAGTCAGGAATCAACTTGTTCACAACGTCCTTCAAGTCGCTGTTCTGCACTTCCTTCGTCATAATCTCGACCATTTTTCTCCGGATCGACTTTACTTGGGTGTGCTGTGCATAGCACGTCTTCTTCACGTGGTTTTGAGCCCGGTGAGTGAAGCCGATGCAGAACAGACGCAACAAGTAACCGTCCGTGGTCTTGACATCGACATTAGCTTCAATCAGGGTTTGCCACTTCTTAACCATGAAACGAAGACGATCGGTAGTCAAATCCATGCCGTGGAAGTTGGTGAGCACGTGTCGGCCTTGAACTTCTTCAGCGATCAACTTGAATTTGCGGAAAGACCTTTCCGCATCTTGGTCTTTTTGCAGGTCCGTCAAGGAAACTTCGAAAACACGCTGTTTGAGGCCCTCGGAAGCAATTTCTGGAAATATGAAAAAAATGATCGAGAATATGAGAGCTAAACCCACTCCGCTACAGCTTTGCGAATTTTCAGTTTTTCCTCTTTCCAGAAAAAATAAATCAATACAAATCAAGGTGTAACAGGATTCATTGATGGTAAAAAAATAATTAGGTTGGATTTCATTCAACCACGAACTTCAGCACCCGTCATTATCTAAATTAAATGAAGTAACTAAAGTATAGGAAAACTAACTTGTTCCCTGCGTCCTGTTCACCAGCGTCTTGCCAATTTGACGAGCGCTAAACATTGAAGGAGCTTTCACATCATACCAGTCCTTGCGGGTGAATGGATCAACGCTGAAATTCAAAACATCGGCATGCGGAAGATTTCCCAACAGTCATAACAATTGTATTGTACTCACATCTTCTTCTTGGCGCCCTTTTTGCCAGATTTAGCCAATCCCTTGTTTTTCCCGACGGCCATTTTATCACTACAATCGAAAACTGAAGCACAACAAAATTGATCTAAAAATGAGGATAATTCAGTTAGATACACAAGAAACCAAGAACAATTACGTCAACATTCAGTTAAAACACTGAAGTTTAAAATGACTTCCACTTCAACTTTCGAAGCGAACCAAAAACTGTTGCAGAGGAACACATGGATGAAAAAAAATCCAATAAAAATCTTGGTGCATCACAAATGAGGATATTCCAGAGTATTCACCAACTATCACCACTTTTAACAGCATCTTCTTCTTCGGGAAACTCCATGACATCCGAGTTATCGGAATCCCAATCAGATTTTAACTTTTTGGTAGAAGCTTTCTCAAAATCTACGCGTTTATCGTAAACAAAATTTCTATCTCCTGGTCTAACTGCAGTACGATCGAAACTTTCTTCCATCAATTCCTTATGTCTTCGCAGTTCATCGCTAGACACCTGTAACGCAAATCGCAAACTTGGATCAGTGCACTTCATAATATTTTCTTTCCACATGAGAATTCAGGCAGTCACCTTGTTCAGATCCTTGGTGCTGTCCACCTCAAATTCCGCATTGATTTTCGCCCGGAATTCATCAATGCGGTTCATGAAATCATCCACATCTTCCATGCCTTCCTGAACCAACCTCAACAGCTTTTCAATCCTCACATTCGCCACTCGGTCCAGGTACGGACTGTGGCGCTTCTTGAATTCCCGAGCGAATTTCTCACAATTTACAGATGGACTAAAATTTCGCAATGGCATTCGCCTTTGGCGGTATTTTTCCCCTTCTCGGTAAACCATGTACAGCTGAGCAGGGTCAATCTGAACACCCAGCTTTTTCAAATGATATTTGTTGGAGGACATCGAAAAATATTCACGTCATAAACGGAACCCAAACCATAGGACTGACCTGCAATGCGACAGGAATAATTTTTAAACAATACATTCCACGAATTTCAGCGCGGACTGCGAAAAATAACATGCGTTCACAAGCGCAGAGTTTTCAAGTGATATCCATGACATGATACACTTCTTTTGTTCATCGAGAAAATGAATTCGGTATGAATCCAAAAAACCCCAACAAGGACATTTCAAAGGAAGGTTCATATGAAGAAAAGCTAACAGTCGAATAACACAATGGAAAACTCGGGACTTGAGGAAATTCAACGTCGTTCTCAGAAATGATCAACACTATAACTTCAAGCCAACTGAGTTGTATCTCTTGCTCGCTCATGAAAATCTGCCAAAAAAAGAACACCAGTCAGCACGTCGATCTACTGCCCTAATCAAACCTGATCCTTCCTAGCCGGTGTACCATTGGCGAGAAGAAGTGTCCCATACATGATCTCACGAGTCCACAGCTACATGGACCAGTCGCCAATTCAGTCACAGCCTTTTACAGCATACACGAAAACGGTCCAGAAGACCAGATTTAAATAGACTCAACAACGAATGCCTGTGCCGATTGCCATGAATGTTCCGAAGGTTCCACCACCTTGAACCATGAATTTCCCAACGCCCCCGAGAAGTTCTCTTCCACGCATTCCGGCCCTTCAAAACACAACACCGAACACATGAAGACGTAGACGTTTCGTTGATATACGCCGAGTATTCACTCGAGTACTGCGCAACTTTTTTGAATACATCGGGACAAAATGAGGTGCGCGACATGATCAAGTAAAAAATTAATTTGAATTTTCAACAGGGTTTAAATTCAGATATTTACAAGTACCGAACAAGTTTTTCATACAGAAATTTTGGTAACTGAACACTACGGGGCGCGTCTTATGCGGGGATACGATTTTTCCCGAAATTTTAGTTACAAATCCGAAGTAAGCCTTACTCCAGTAAATACGGTAATTCGTCGTCAAAACTCACCTCAATGCGGAAAACCCACCGAGAAGGGCACCTGAACACATACCAACACAAAAACCGATGGCAAAACCGTATTTCATGCGATCAAAGCAACTCGGCCCTTGCTGATAAGTTGCCAACTGTGGCGCCATTATAGTACGAGACACAAATTTCACGCGGTAACCTGGCAATACCGGCGATCAAAGAAGCCGTAGAACATTAAAAGATGTTAACTGAAATTTCCAATTGGGTGTACAAAGCCTAGGAATCATTTCACTATTGCACCAACGAGACATCAATGATAAAGCCAATATCATCATCTTTTGAACAACCAGTCGCCGCCAACACTCGATTTGTTGTTGAGTTCCTTAAAAGCCTCCGGGTTCTCTCGCTTGAATCGCTGAGTTTTCGAGTAGTCGCTGTAAATCATGTACATTGCAACAGCGGGAAAAAAAACTGACACCCGGTAACGCTTGAAGGTTTTCCACCACATTTTGGCAGTCGACTGCCCCGCTTCCATCTCCATCACCCTGTGTTCACTCCACAATAACTCAGAAATATTCACTGAAATTTCTGCAGGAAGAGAAAATTTAAAACTCACTCAAGATATAAAAGAATAAAATAATTTCAGACAATTGATCCGTAAACAATTCATAGATAGGAAAGCTTACTTGACTTTTCAACCCATCGAGACCGAAGGCCAGGATTTCGTACGAATCAATCATCAACGTTTAAGCGAAAGAAACTTGGCAACATATTTTCATTTACGATACACTCGTCCAAAAATACAACTTTTCGGTTCTCCAATTTCACGTCAACCTAATCTCGTCCGAGAGTCGGAATGAGCAGATATTGAGTCATTAACTTTCACGATGAGATTCACAGATGGGTACGGACCCAACAAAACCAGTCCGCGATTATTGATATCTTGATTTTCTTTAATTATGCCGGAAGCACCGACGGATTTCCCGAGATACCACCTGGGTTTCTCGACAGATTCCGTAGTTATGTCTCCGAGAAACATTTTTCTCAACAGCACTTGTAACACAGATCCAACATGACGGCTTCCCGTCACTAAACGAGCACCACACAGCTGCTTGGATGGCAACACAATTACAGGGGTTGCCAGAGAAGCTGGACGCTTTCCTGGCCCGGCACTATTTCTCAAATCACTTTTAGAATTCGCAGACAATGCTGCAGTTTTATCAAAGCTTCTTAGCGCTGAATTCAACTCGAAGGCGGCATTCGGAAGCACTATTCGGTTTGCTCCTGTTGCTCTCAACTCACTGCAATGAAAATAAAATTCGAAAGTAGAAAAACTTCAGATTTATTCGGAAAATGAAACTACGCTCCATTTTTTTTCTTCTACCGTGATTGTATTGAAGCTCACATTTCCTCTCAACTTTTACTATTTCTTCTCGACATTCATGAACAAAAAACTATTTTTTGAAATTCCAGGACGCTCCCAGATGAACAACAAAAAAACTTACCTCACGAAAGAGACGTAAATATCTTTGTTGTCTACCGCAGCGACATGTGTACCATATCGATTCGGCGAAACAGGAAGTACCGGCTCTTGAATCAAGGGCTTTAGCAAATCCTCCGGAATATTTGCTAAGTCTGCGTTCAACGTACCCTCTTCCATCATAGCACCATCTGCATCCGAAGCGTTTCCACTGAAATCTGCGTCTCCTAAAACCAAGTTAACTATCAGTTGAACCATATCGTTTCCAGTCAAATTGTTTGACTGTATGAAGATTGCGCTCAAGATTACCCTGAAATGTTATTACTCACCCAATCGATAAAAACGAGCCAAGCTTAGTTTTAAAGCATGTACCGAGAGTTGCATGGCACCGGGCTCACTCATAGAACCAATCCGAATACCTGGAAAATGAATTCCGTTGGTTTCTTCTCATAAGGATGAAAATCTTCAAAAACTCACCTTTCCTCTGCAGCAATCCCAATGCGTGCAAAGCCGCAGGGCCAGCAGATGGGAAAGATGGCGCTATCACATGAAAACTCTCATCCAAGGAAAGCTTTATGGGCTCCTCCCAACTCGCTGCATACGAGGAGACATCGTTTTCATTGATGACACCACCTCGTGCTTGCGCAGCAGCAACGATTTCTTTGCCAATCGTTCCATTGTAAAATCCTGTAATTAAGAAGTAAAATCGGGAAATTCTTCCACCTTCTAGGAAAACTTAGGTTTCGTACATTTATTCAATATGTTTCGAATACAACGAACAGTATTCGCATTCTCGGAATGCATCGGTTAAGGGATCTGACACAGTGGGAATTCCATCTGAAAAGTCTACTGATCGAACAATGTACAACGACAGAATGGCTACCTGAGCCACTTGATAAATGAAACTGGCAGCCACATTCCAAGCTAAATTTATGGAAAATATTTTTTCGTACAGCCCATGATATACAGCAAGACAGATTTTCACAAGTAAATATTGGTGGCAGCCCGAGTTCGTTTTCAAAAAATTAAATACATCTATTATCTGGGGTACCAGCAAATTGAACAGTTATGGCCAAAATAAATCTCAATACCAAGAATGTAGCGCACGGATGCTCCGTTAATGATACTTACCACCAGCTCCATTAGCAGATATTTCATCCAAGATAAATTTGAAGCCGCGAGAAGAATTGATGGGTCCCAGGCCGACATGCTCCAATCTAATCAAGAAAAAAAAACGTGAATCACAAAAACACGACATGCTCCAATCTAATCAAGAAAAAAACGTGATTCACAAAAACATCAGGCTAAAATATATTGAACTCACTCAAATAACTGTGACGTCGGGGAGATCAAATCTGCCCATGGAAGAACTCCATAACGCGAATGAGCAGCTTCAAGGCCCGCTATCAAACCCGGAACTCCTACAAGAAGTCCAGCTTTTCCCTCATCGAATTCGGCTTTAGAAAGATCAGCAGCAACAAGAGCTGCTGGGGCAGCCTCACGGAAATTCAACACAGCGGATTCTTCGCTATGTCCATGCTTATGGATCAACATAAATCCTCCCCTAAAAAATAAAATATAGAGAAGCAAGGTTTGTTTTCGCACTCTCACTGACTCACCCTCCAAATCCAACTGACTGTGGACGCTTTAATGTCAAACAGAACACCGTCGAAATGACGGCATCTACAGCTGATCCTCCACGAATTAAGGCTGTTTTTCCGACGTCAGTGCAAATGCGCTCGTCAGAAACAACGGCTCCATTCAAGGCAACCTGAAAAAAAAACCGATAATGTCGTAATGCAAATTACTTCCGAAGTTAGCGCAGGGACACTCACCTCTGATTTTCCGTATAGTATTTGCACTACCAGTGCAATGGTAACGGACAGCGTGAACACGAAGAAACACAGCAAAATGATTCTAAAACCAGATTCATAGCTATTCCAAGCTCCAAGAACTTTCCGGGCAACATTCGAAACCTCAACTTCTTTCTCTGTAAATTCAAAGAGCGAGATCACAGCGTTCTAATGCGGTAAATAAAAAAAATGTTGAAGATAATTTTCTCGGAGCTTACCAGTTCGATGGAAGAACCCGGAATTGAGAAATATCCCGGACTCAAAAGGGAGCTTCTCGGATTCCATCACAATGTCCACACTTACACGTGCGCGTCATTTGCCTATTGCGAAAGAAATTACACTGCATTAAGAAGCCACTGATTGCTTCAAAGCGTGGATTAAAATACGCGAACAACAACTTGCGGGTTCATTACAAGGCAGATCACAACCGTTAGTAGCCTACAAGGGCGATCGTACCGTTCAACAATCCACATGCCCAAAGAACGGACAACGTCTACGGCAATTCTTTCCAAATTCAAGATTAAAATACAATCTTATTTCAATAATAAAAAAAAAACACTCATCGAAATCGTGGACGGTTTGAGTAACAGTTTTGCGCGCTGAAAAAAAACCACATCCTGGAATATTCCGGGTCCACATTCAACAATAAATGCTTTCCATTTCAACATTCAGCGCCAAGTCAGTAACCTTCCCTCAAGTATTTCCCGAACACAAGCTCGTGGAATATCTAGCAACAAGGCACACGGAATTCTCTTCCGCCGAAGACATGTTCCGCTACAAAGCTTCTGGAGTAGGTTCAGGTTCAACCAGCGAAGTATAATACAGCTTTGACACTAAATTTCGCCACTCGGGAGCCAATTTGTTCAGTATTGCTTTCCTTCGACGGTAAGCATATGCTGATCCTAACAAAATACTCACTACAAAAAGCGTTAAAAACACCGTCCAGAAAGTATCAGATCCCGACGTAGTTTTTATCACCATGTAGCTCGTAGCTTCTGTTTCCTTCACATCATCCAGCGCTAAACCGATGTTCGACGAAGGTCTACCTTCCTTACAAACGTAGTCTGTCCGCTGTCGCAGATATACCGGAGTTTTCTTCATCCATGTAAGCATATCCGAGAGGTAAGAGTCACACACAAATGGATTACCTTTCAAATCCACGGTCAATTCGGGAATTTGATCGAAAAGTATCAGGGTAGTCTGATCCAGAGTCTGGATATTGTTAAACTCCAAATCGAGAAAGCGCAATTTCTTAAGGCATGATATGTTGAAAGGAAACGAAAATATACGATTATAAGAGAGCAAAATCTGCTCCACGTTTGGAAGCTCACAAAAAATGTTCGGATTCCCGACTGAATCGATTTCGTTGTCCTCGAGATGCAAGCGCCGAAGATGTGTGAGCTCACTGCCCCGGAAGATCCTCTCCAAGCTCATCAGTGCCACGGTAGAATTCACCCGATCGTTGAAGGCATTCGTCAAATGAAGCTCTCGCAATACTTCAAAATTGCTGAATAAACGTTTGTGCTCATTCCCGTTTGTGATTTCGATGTCGTTGCTGTTCAGGATCAGCCGATAAACGTCCGAAACGTGATGAAAGGTTTGTCCTTTGATGGTCTGAAAAGAAAGAAAAAAACTTATTCATCACTGTTACGGGTCGAAATGAAGAACATATACGAACACGTATCCGATTGTCCGAAAGATCAACTACGGTGAGGTTGTTTTCTTCGAGGCCGAATACATTTGCGGGCAGATCATGAAGAGTATTACCGGTGAAAATGAGGACTTCGGTCTCCGGCGGAATTTGCTCCAACAATGAAACATCAGTGAACCTAGTATTCGTACAATTTGTGATGAACTGAATTCGATCTTCGTATTTGTCTCTCCTGCAGGTACAACGCCCCAAAAACTCCGTTGGGCATCCTGTCACATCCACAGCTCCATCCACGAGGATAGAAAGAATGGCAACACATGAAATCACTTCCACCGGTCGAAATCGCCGAACGACAGGGGCAACCATCTTTCCTCGAGAAAGTGGGCCGAACTGAAGAAAGTGTCAGATGATCATGTGTCGAAAAACCTCCGGCACCTATCATAACCTACATTAAAACGAAAGATGAGAGTTCCATGCCAAAGCCATTGAAGTTTTGAAGAAGAATGAGCACAACTACATCGCACTTCCACGAAAAAATCCTCGATCACTTACACTCGGAGTACTATAGGTAGAAGCGCGACATCACTGAATCTCGAATTTAACGCAAATATCAGCTTCTGCTCACTTTCTCAGCTTGTTTGTTTGCTGTTTACAGGCTTGAAAACACGTGCAGCAGAAACCCATGCACTCAGCGGATGTCCAAAATTTGAGAACAAGAAGGAAAGTTCATTACGGATCTCGGACTTCTCAACCGAATCTGATTCAATCTCAAACTGAAATGCTTGGGCTCGAATATCCCCTGCTATTCCCCATTGCACGCGTGAGAAAGAAATTCGCTACATACGATTCAAGCGAACAGGTAGAGAATGGAGGAAATGCACGCAGTTCACGATTTCACGTTAGACACGTACGAGCTTACATCCGATTACGGTAAGGAAATTGAAAAACACGGGTTCTTCAACCAAGTAAACAGCTAGTATTTCCTCGTCAAGACGGCGACACCTCAAACTAACCACAGCAGCACACAACAAACATGCGCGGACGACTGACAGTTATCAAAATGGTGATGAGAATTCGATGGCTAAGATCCAACTGAAGTTTTCTCGAGATCCGCTGCTCCACGTCCGATCGAGCACCTCATGCACCTCACATGTGGTTCGCTGTTTTCAGTGGACACAATAAATTTATGTTTTGTTTGACTATTAGATGTCGCTCCTCATGAAGCAATAAATCACTGTACAGTACTGTACTGTACTGTATTAGAAAAACACTACTGTACTACAATATCGGTTCATCAGTCGGCAGATACTTTGCTTGACGATTTATGCTGTATTTTACTTGAAAAAAATCTTTTGACCGAGATGAAATAAAGCCAGTTGAAACGCTTTTTAGATACATGGATGTGTATCATATCTTGAATATTTTCTTTTAAAAAGAACTGAAACAGTATCCCCGGCTTTCCGAGGTGAACATTTTGACAAGTTTCTGATGAAAATTTTGCTTAAGCATACAGCAATACAGAAACAGTACAGCCTTCATTATGCCACGTCATTGCCTGCTGAACTCTGCTCTTATGCTTTACTTGACGTAGTATATATACAGCAGTACTTGAATAAAGAGGAAATTAATGAACGCACGGTAAAATGCAATATTCAACTCCTGGAAATTTTTTTAAAATGTGCTCGACGGGTTAGATGAATCATGCAGGCATACGTGCTGATGAGATTTTTCACATCAATTTTTGAAGTTTTTCATCTAAGACAAAATGGCGTCGATTGCTGTCCCGGAGTTTTCAACGTTAGTGTATAGGAATATAATCTAGGATCGATTTTTCTGCCACGCGTCCACTAATCGCCTTCTTATTGATGTAGATGTCACTAACATCCCATTTAGATCCAGTAAAGTACATCACAGTACTACTGGGTTTTCTGTATCCCATTCATTACCTCTTCAAGTTGAAGAATTTGTTTTAGATACAGTAGTCTCTGAAAAAATTCCAGCATACTGTCTCAATAAAATATGCCCTGATACAGGCCAAATAAAAAGCAAAAATAGATCACAACAATTTGTAGCAAACGTTGTCCTGTATTTCCATCCTTGGAACAACAGCGAAGTGGAAGCGTGACCATGAAGATTCGCGTTTTCAGCAGCAATTCAAATATCATCCTTTCCCTCAGTCTCATAAAATGTGTCCCACTGCCAGAAGATCTTTCTCCGCCAAGAGAGAAACGAAATAAAGTTTTAATAAATTGTCAAAAAGTTGGGGGGGGGGGGGGGGGGGGGGGGGGGGAGAATTAACCCTTAGGGAAGTCTCAGTGGAATTCAACTAAGTACTGTAGTACTTCACATCTAATAACACCGACTGTAATTTAAAAGAACATTTCATACTTTTTTGCGGAGAGGACTTTTTGCCCATCCGCTGAAAGACTCCGCTTTTCTCTGTATTACAAGAAACTGCTTTAAAAACCAACGACATGATTCTAGCCTCACTTCATAATTAAAACGACCCCCAAAATATACAGGCTTCTGATTAATTGAAACAGATGATCTAGATTCTAGAAAGTTGACCGAATCAGAAGAGACACCGAATCTTTCTTTTTTACCTCTGGAGATTGTTCCATTTCCGGGTATATGTTTACATCTTTGAAGAACTTTCAGCAAATTCAAATCTATAGTCACTTAAAACAGTGAAAATCAAGGCTTCAGCATGAATTTTCTAAAATTTTCCTTGCCTTTCCTAGTATATAAACATTCGATAAAAATTCCAATTTCAGGATAGAAGCTCAAAAAATCATGAAAATATCAGGAAAATTTTTTGCAAAGTCCAGGATTTATCAAATCAAGGTTGCATCAATCCTAGAAATATTTTCAAGATTCCCAATAATCAATCAGCCATCGATCAGCAAGAATTATACCAGTTAATGCCAATATTGCTTTATGCATTTGAAACTCTTGTATTCTCAAAAATCAACTGAAAATCTAGAATTCAAATTTTTAAAAATCTACGTGCTTCATTATTTTCTTACTTGAAATTTCCCCAAAAGATCTGAAGCTAATGGTTAATAATTGAATAAAAATATTTTCAACATCGTCCAAACTAAAGGTTATGGGCCTGAAAAAAAAAATCAAGAAATTTTCCCACGCGGAAATGGAACAACCACCGGTCAATACATTAACAGTTTTTTTTCCGAAATTCAACAGTATCACATCCAAACGAAAATAAAAAAAAAGCGGAAAACGAAATGCTGGGCACGCGAGTCACTGGAAACGCCTCCTTTTCAATCTCAGATTCCCGAATTGAGATCAACGCGTAAAAACGAAATTCAACCAACAAAACATTTTTTTTTTGCACACCACACGTAATTCAAAAAACACTTTTTTTGGTATCGCGCCCGACAAGAGATCATCAATACCCGAGGGAAAGAAAGGGATTAAAAACATTTTGACACATTTTGAAAAAAACGAAAAAAAAAATTCACAAACGAAGTTATTCCCACGCAAGAAAATTGCGTTCATGTTCCTCGTTCGTGGAAAACAATTCAATAAATAATATCACAGCTACGACCAATCACTGGAACCAAGGAAACAAAACCGCAGCATCGATGCCGAAAAACTTCCTCGCCCCGATTTTTTATCCTAGCACACATAAACAACAGAAAAATGCGAGCAATGCCGAAATACTTGTATTTATTTCTCGTGTTTCCTTTTTTTTCTGATGAAATTTTATCGATCCAAAAGTGGGCGTATAAGAGAGGAAGAAACTGCAAGATTGTTTTTTCTTGACAGAAGAGCTCGGTTTGTCACAGCGCAACCGCCGTTTTTTTAGTCCATTGATTCTTTTACTTCTCAGCAGCCGTGGTTTCTTTGGAACCAGCGAAAATAAACCTGAGTAAAATCGCTTTCGAAAAAGGGTAATCTAACGCTTTTTTCTGTCTTTGTCTCATTCCACTTCGAACGAGTCGATAAAAATAATTGAAAAGAAGGATAATTTCCTCATATTTCCCGACGAGTGCAAATCTGTCACTCTGGATCCTCAAAAAAAAACAAAAAAAAAACTGTCAGACATGAAACATTTTCTAGCAATTCGCTTTTTTGTGCGATGCAATAAGATTGATTTTCAGAACTCGAAGAAATGTATGCAGATTTTTAAAATCCGCGATCCCATAGGAAGCTCAATTTATGGAATTTGGATGGACATATTGTTATCAGAAATGCGTTTGAAAAAAAAATTTACTCCTGTCGTAATGTAATACAGTATGTGGAAATTGGGATAAGTTAGGTAATCCAAGTTGCAACGAATTTTCCATCAAATGATACACCGACAAGCATATTCAATTTCAAAATCCACAAGATCACGGAAAAGTTTCCCTTCCTGAACTATTTTTTCTTTACGATTTTAAGTTTGAAAATTCTAGAACATTAAATTAATCTCCCAATTACTTTCTCTTCATGCCGATTTCAAAAATTTCAAGTGAGAAATTTGAAGGCAGGAGCATAGTTTCTAGTCCCGGCAGAAATTAAAAGATTCTAACTGTGTATATATTTTTGATGTTTCAAAAGCATCATGGGATTTTCTGTTCGTCTATTTAAAATTATTTTTACTTCTTCGTAAAAATGCGTGGTCTTGCAAGGACAACAGTTTTGAAGCAACAATTCAATTTCCAACACCTATAGCCAGAATTCCTGTTCTGATAACTGAAATTTTGTTAACCATGCGAATGTTGTCTTGGTTACTTACTAATAAGTGAAGACATTTAATAATGCTAAGCTTTCGTGAGCAGTTCGGTTTGCTTGAAAAAAAAAATCATCTTGATTTACTGGTTTCAGAAAGCATGTTTGATTGCCCTTCACCTCATCAAGTCGATATAATTAATCTTTTATGCAGTGCACATTAAAATTGAGCGCTTTTGAGCTGTTCCGCAGATCAACATTCTTGTCTCGGGAAATGACCAAATTTTAAAATGAGTACGAGGTTATGAATAATAATGATACCTGAAAGCGAAAAGAAACAGGTCGAAGTCGGAGATCATCAGAAAATTTGGACAAAAACCGACAAAAATAATTTAAAAGAAACCCTCTCGCGAAAAGAGCGACATCTCGACTTTCTTTTCTCAACACGCGCTTTCTAGAACAGGCCGACGCTTGACAGCGGCCGCTGCCGCAGCAGCAGCACCGCCGACAGCAGCGGCAACAACAGGACTCGTGCCGACCTCCAGCAACTGTCGCTGTCGGTACAAATGAAACTCTTCCCTCATGGCCCTCAACCTGGCCTCCATGTCCTCCGACTGCGGCGTCACCGACAGCGACATCAGTCCCTTGGCCACCCCGACGTCGTCATCGTCGAACTCACTAGCGATTCTCGTTCGTCTCGCCACGAAGATCTCCGAGTCCGAAACACCCGCACGCGTCTCCTCAACATACAATTCCACAGCGTCGAATTCGTAGTGATCGTCGGCACTCACGT